AAAAATTAAAGTATTTTTAATTAATTTTTTTATCAGAATGCGGATTTTTTATACTATTAAATATTTTAACAATAAAGCTTTTCGTACGTCTCAGTCGAGGTGCAAATATTTTTCCATCTCAAATTTATAAGGGTCACATACCACCCTTATAAATTTGAGATTTTTTAATTGAATCTACTAATAATATTTTTAAATAAAAAATATAATATTTGAAATCACAAAACTAGAATGAAACGCAAGTAGGTAGATGAAATTAAAATACTGGCCGGCGGGCACTCGGGCAGCCCTGTCCCGTGGGTGTGTATCGCGTGGCTGTAGGTAATTATTTCAAGGACAGGGCCGAGTTACAATACTGTGTGTATAACATTACTTGTCTTAGGGCCAATCGTTAAAAGTGACAGGTATAGAGTTAAGAGAGGTTTGCTTCTCACAGGGACATTTTAACAGAACCCAGAACTCGATAGAACATCTACCAATGTGGTATATCTGTGGTTGGTTTTTTTTAGCGTAGACTAAGTTAAGTGAATCTAGAGTGTTTACATAAATGAACACATAATATTAAAAAATCGATATGACAACAACATTTTTATTTATATAGATAGGTATAGTTGAACGTCTTTGTATTTCTGTTATTCCCTCACGCCGGCGTTACAGTTAACAATAGATTTCTTAGAAATTTTATTAATTTCTTAGAAATTTACCTGGAGATGTTAAAGTGTAGTATATTAAGAAGTTTGGCTTTGTATATAGGTTCTTACATTTATATATATATATATATATATATATATATATATATATATATATATATATATATATATATATTACAATAAATAAGAATATTTTATTATGCAGTTTATTCTCCACTGTGCCTCACAAAAAAAACATATTATTTACTTTTTCATCATATCTTTATATAAAACATCGATATCATCGATAAAACATATCGACATGTGTCAGTGTCTATTTGGTTTTTGATGAGAATTCATATATGTCAGATTTTAAATTACACATTAACAATAGCGAATCGCGAGCGCTTCACTTGAAATTTAATCAATTTTAGCGCGTTTGTTTTTAACATTGTTGGCATTTTATTTAATTTTTTATTATATAGTTGATAACACTTCCAAAGTTTACGTGTATCATTCATTTAGCATGAAATAAACTAATTTCATCGTGTAATAAGTGATAAAAGTGCAGCGGGTGAGGTTCTAGTGGTTAACAGATCGGCTGATATGCGTTTTCAATCCTCTACGGATCAATAAAATCTTCTATGAAGCTCCAAATGTTCAAACATTTTTATCGTAAAAATTTTGTGGACTGAATTTTCAGACTAAGACCGGTAATATAATTAATGAATTAAGTACGCTATACGACATTGTTTTCATATTTATTTTATTATAAACTAGCATTGCCGCGGCTCCGCCCGCGTTCAGATCACCAAAAACCAAATTCTTAGGTTTTACATATTAGTATACTATTATAATGGAGTTTTTCTATTTTTTCACAGAAATGAGATATTTTCCCAGGGTAAAAAGTATCCTATATGTTGACCCGGATAACCAACTATCACCATACTAAATTTCATCAAAATCCCTCCAGTGGTTTTTCTGTGATGTAACAGACAGACAGGGAGACAGGCAAAAATTCTAAAAACTATAGATTCGGCCTCTGTATCGATAATAATGTTTATTTCAATAAGATTTTCCAAAAAATAACTAATGTACAGATTCGAGTTACAATTTTATTATATGTATAGATTATATATGATGTAATTATAAATATTATTATTTACAATTTTTTCATTTAATGATAAAATAAAAAAAAATAACAAGTAAGTATAGACTACGAAAAATTTACTAATCTAGAAAATGGAAAAAAGTACGACAAAGAGGAGATTGATGATTTTTTTATATTATCATCACTATATGACAAACTATAAAGGCTTAGTTTTGATTTGAATAAAGTATAAGTTTTAAGCAAAGTAAAGTTATTTTTGAGACACAGAACTCTACAAACGAACATACACACAGTTGGTATAATATTAGACTTTCTTTGTTAAGGTGTCATTATCTCGCCTCGCTGGAAGCATTTAAGCGATCTTAACTGCCTTGTTTTTATTTTCCTCGTATAAATTGGAATTGGATGCTGACGTTAGGAAAGTGGTTTTCCCGTACAATTTTTCGTTGTTCCGGAAATATTTATATTGCGTACTCTCGATTACTTTATATATATTTTATTATTATTATTATATACGTTATTATAATGCAAGTTATACCTTATAGACTTATTATATTAGTTATCTAACAAATACTAAACTTCACTTGAGGCTTATTCACACGTACATTTACGTGTTGTCATTTAAGTTTTCTTTTATTAAAGAGGACATCTAACAATAACTTTATATTAAACTAGCATTGCCCGCGGCTCCGCCGGCGTTCAGATGCCAGAAACCAAATTCTTAGGTTTTACATATTAGTATACTCTTACAATGCAATTTTTGTATTTTTTCTCAGAAATGATATATTTTCCCGCGGTAAAAATTATCCTATATGTTGACCCGGATAACCAGCTACCATTATACCAAATTTCATCAAAATCTGTCCAGTGGGTTTCTCGTGATGCGGTAACAGACAGACAGACAGACAGACAAAAATTCTAAAAACTATAGATTCAGTCGGCCTCTGTATCGACAATAATGTCTATTTTAATAAGATTTTCAAAAAAATATGTAATGTACAGATTCGTATTAGTTAGAATTTTATTGTATGTATAGATTACACATGAATTCATCAGTTTATGATACATCATTTTATAGATTTACATACATGTAAATCTATGAAAATATATCTCTTTAATATGTTGTTTGCTTTGCCTCACTAAATAATTTTAAGGCTGGCCACTTATACATGGTTTTCTGATTAATTACTTAAATTCGCATTCTTTTTTTAAATTCAGGTATTCGAATACGCTCTTTCCAATTAGTGTTCTATGTAGCACATACATTCTTATATTTTCTACTAGCAACTCACCCTCGGTTCATTCGGGTTCATCCCTATTTACGTTTAAACGTTTAGCTCAGAGATGAAATATTTTCCCGTCACCTCCTGCATAAACGCATTTCCCAACGTTAACAAAGGGGGGGAGGGGGGTGATAGGGGGGGATAGGTGGAGCGGGTGAGTTTAAACGCCGTAAGAGAATAATAGTATGATTATAATATTTTAACAATAAGCCTACTAGTCAACTAGAAAACACCTAGAGACTTACAGTATAGTAAGCAATGTAATACATATTACATATTGTTCTTAAAGATCATTGAAGGTATTATTAAAAATGAAAAGGATTTCTCACTTCGCTGGGGTGCGACTCTACGTGTCTAGCAGCTATGTGTTACTCTAGGTCATAATCTATCTGTCTAGAAAATTCCATCCAAATCCATCCAGCCGCTTGAAGGAGTAACAAACATACACACATAAAAACTTTCGTACTTGTAGCAGTCTGATTTGTGAATATTTTATTAGAATGTTTACCTACTAAACTACACTCCTTTCGTTTGTTATCATTGTTTTATAAACTTGATTTATTATGTAAATCAAATCGTATCAGTAATTTGTTTTCAACAAAAAATCATCGATTTGCAATTCTAAATACAATTGACTTTTTTTAAGGTAAAAACGCCAGAACTATTTCTAATAAGTATCAGGAACTGTAGAACTTACGTGCATGCGAATAGAACTCATATTTTTTTTGATCTGCTGGACAATGATCTGCTAAGTTCACTGACCTTACAAACTTACCATCCAGAACAAACGTCAGTAAGCAATATTTACATAAAATATTTTTTGGAAAATCTTATTGAAATAGATATTATTGTTGAAACAGAGGCCGAATCTTTAAAAAAATAAGTTTGTAGAATTTCTTTCTGTCTGTCTATCTGTAACCGCATCACAAAAAAACTACTGGTCAGATTTTGGTGAAATTTGGTATGACTATAGCTGGTTATCCGGGTGCTGACCCGTATATATAGACCACAACAACCATGGGGTTACTCCGAGGTCCACTCTGCTATCAGAGAAGTACCAGGAGCAACCCGCATGGTATACCGCCCACCAAAGAGGGCCACCTTCCACCGCCCACCGAAGTTGGCCACCTCCCTGTGCGTTTCTTGGCTTCGCACCCGGCTGTATTGCCGGGCACTACTGAGCCCCCCCACCACGACAAGGTGAACGCACGTTGTTACCTACCCCAACGTGTGTTTATATTATCGTGGTTGGGGGCAGCTCATCATTAGCGTCCGTCAACCCAGCCGGGCGCGAAGCCAAGCTGGTACTTCTCTGATAGCAGAGTGGATCGTTTGAGCAACCCACAGTTGTTGTGGTCTGCTTTAAAAGATGCCATCGGGGCATCGTGGCTTAGTGCATATGTGATCCTGCGATGCCCCATTAAGACGGGAGAGGTTTAGCTGGCTTGTCTAGCCGGTGAGTCCCACATAACCACCTGTATCTCTACAGGAGGTATGCCTAAATGCATTTCCCATCATTAAAAAACGACATTTTAACTTAAATTACAGGAAAACTATAGGAAAAAACATTTAAAAAATTATGGCAATTTTCAAAATGCTCAACTATCAGCATCAAGATTTTATTTTAACATTTTTTTATGTTAAGGGAGAATGGATGATACTTGGTTAAAGTTTTGGTGCCTGGAGCACATCAAGTAGATCTAGACAGTAGTCTCGATTATATGAGTACGATCTTCTGCTATCCAGTCAAAAATTAAATTTATGTTAAGTAATGTGTAATGTGGCCAAAATTTGATCGTAATCATTATTGAAAATTTCAAGAAAACACTCATTATGAATAGAATTTATCTATCATACATAGATAGCACTAATATTATTTTTATCTATTCTCGACTTATGTATGTATTTTTTTAATTATGCCATAAAAAGTAACATTTTATTTACAGAATCGTTTTATGTTTTGTGTACAGGAAAATCATCATGTCTCTAAATTCGTCAATTTCGGAGTATTATGGTGGAAAATCCATTTTTATAACTGGCGCAACTGGTTTCCTGGGAAAGGTAGGTTTTTGTAAATATGTATAATAGTATATACGTATGTATATCAGTGGCGAAGGGTCCCTACAAGACGATTCCCACCGTCTTACCTTTTAGAAATCCAATAATCCATCATTCATTATAAATATTTATTTATTGAATTAACATAATTAGTAAATAATTTTTTTTTATTATTACTACGTCAAATTCTGAAAATAATATAACGCAAAAAATCACAAGCAACGAAAATACATTTTTGCGCTTGAAATTGCTTACGCGTTTCTTCATAGACATGCGACGTAAGACGTTGTATTTTAGCTTACCGTGTTCATACTAAATTGTGTTTCATTCATACTTTTGGATTGAACATAACTTCATTTATTTTAGCATTTTACAAATTTTTGGTGCTTGAAAAGCAGCTTCTCAACGTCTTTTCCCGCGTGATTGGTCAGAAATTAGAAAACGTCACACAAATTGACCAATGAGAGGCGAGAAATGTTATTATTTGAACTAGCATTGCCCGCGGCACCACCCGCGTTCAGATGACTAAAAACCAAATTGTTAGGTTTTACATTTTAGTACACACTTACATTGCAGTTTTTGTATTTTTTCTCAGAAGTGAGGCATTTTTCCGCGGTAAAAATCCTATATGTTGACCCGGTTAACCAGCTATCACCATACCAAATTTCATTAAAATCCCTCTAGTGGTTTTCCTGTGATGCGGTAACAGACAGACAGACTAAAATTCTAAAAAGTATAGATTCGGCCTCTGTATCGATAATAATGATTGAAATTGATGATATTGAAATAATAAGATTTTCAAAAAAAAAATTAATGTACAGATTCGTCTTAGTTAGAATTTTATTATATGTATAGATATAGCGAATTGTAATTGTTTAAGAGTCCATTGCTTTAGAGAATTTTTGTTTTATGGAGTTTTAACAAGATTTAAGTGTAATATGGACATTTTGTGCTGTGTTTGTTTGTGAAATGTGAGTGTTTTACATATTTGTTAATTTCGGTGAGTTCTATTAGCCATTATGGCATTAATTTGAATACTATTGACTACTATTGTCATCAAGATACTCATTTGCTTAAAATATAATTTAATTATTACATGAAATGAGTTAGGTACCTAAATATTTTGATCAAACTTTTTATTAAAAATATGTGTGAATGTGCTAAATTAGAAAAATATTTAGTTTTCTATGGTTATTATACTCTGATTCTATTTAAGTCTAGAGTGAATTTTAATTTGTGATAGTTATTTTAAATATGTTACATTAACAATATAATTTGACGAATTAAGCTAAATACTAAATAGGTTATTCAAACATTTTTAAAAAAGGACGCTATAGGATACTGTTACTGAGACTTACTATACAGAAAGACTCGATAACTAAGCTTGGCCCGACCCGGGACTCGAACCCAGGACCTCCGGCTGTGCAGCCGTACATGCTAGCCACTACACCACCGAGGCAGTAGTAAAGGCAGCATCGATATATAAAAATTGTATATCAATGTTTTTTTGTCTGTTTTCTTTTGGGAATGGCTTACCTCTTCTAAAATTTCACCCTTTGCCACTGACGTATAGCTTAGATTCATTTCAAATTCTTTATTGTTTTACAAAACAAAGTAACGTACATATTATAAGAAAGAATCAGTATAAAGGAACGAGAACGAGAGAAATTATAAATATCATTAAGTAGAAAGTTACACGAGGTCGAAGAATTAGCCAATAAGCTGAAAATATTTTTGTATTATTGTTTTTTTTGTTGCAGATATTAATAGAGAAATTGTTATACAGTTGCCCTGATGTAGGAAATATTTACATTCTTATACGAGAGAAAAAAGAAATGTTGCCGGAAGTAAGATTACGGGATTTTTTTAACTGTCCAGTACGTATTACAGTGTGTTTTTATACTTAAAATCAAAAGAAGGGTCCCTTGACAAACTTGGACACTATGAACTTATGTGGACGTTAGGTTGCGATCACGTTCTATTGCTTTCTTAGAACTTTTTGTTTAGTATATACAGCCCTTTTTAACCAGGACGACCATGCTGTAGTTCACCACATTGCCCGAGTGCGAACTGATGGACTTCAAATGTCTTTCTAAAACTTGCTAGGTTCTGTCAGACATGCATATTTCGTCAAGATGTCTTGCTTCACCGTAAGGGAGTGGTGATGATAGTGAAAATTCAAAAAAAAAGAACGACTTATTAGAATATCAAAGCTGCCGAGAACCAGGATTTGAACCCGGTCCATTTGGTTTGCCAAACGAAAACATTACCACTGGGCTACAACTACCTGATCTGTAGGCATGGCTCATAGTTAAAGTTAGAAACTGTTAGTAGGTTTTACACTTGTTAGATATAATAACGAATAATCTAACTCGTATCGCAATTTATGTAATACACGTGTTACTGAAATACAAGTAATTCGAATCTTTTAGCAAGAATAAATATTGCCGGTATATTGCGTATCTCTCTCGCTTCTGGTTAGGCTTTTGACATAATATGTTAATATTATTTTAAGAATGTTTTTTTTTATTCTATGTCTGTTAAAGTATTGTTACTCAGCTGAATAATACGTTAGCATACATTAACAATGACATATATTAACAATGATAGTGTTAATATATGTATACTAGCGGACCCGACAGACGTTGTCCTGTCTACACGTCTTTAATTTGAAAATTTCAAACTTTTTTTAATAATTTTTTGATGAAAATTATTATTCAAATTGTAAATCTAAACCATTCCCAGATCCCCTTGAACACACACAAAAAATTTCATCAAAATCGGTCCAGTCGTTTGAGAGAAGTTCAGTGACATACACACTCACAGAAGAATTATATATATAAAGATTTCGCGCAATTGGCTAGTCTCATTATGGTTCGATGTTGCAACCGAAATCGTTTAAAGGATGTTATTATTATTATTTTTCTTAACTAGACAAATGATAGCCCGATAATAATTAATTACGTAATTATTATTAGCCGTTTCCCTGACCCATGAGTCATACATATATGAACATTTCGATTGTTTAACTATTGTGTCTATTTTGCGGACTGTTAATCTGTTAATTTTGTATTTTTTAGGTTTTTAATAGAGTGAAGGCAGACTGTCCAGATAATTTAAAAAAAATAGTTGTAGTGAAAGGAGATATTACTGAATTCAAACTTGGATTGAACTCAAAAGATCTCCACATGTTACAAGAGAAGGTAAATGTAATTTTAAAGAAAAGTTCTTCAAAAACCTTTTTGGACTTTCCGCGGATTTATTCTGAATTTTAGTTCCTGACGTTTCAAAGGCTTACAGCAATCAAGGTTACGAGAGACTTTCTACAAGCTTTATTAATTAAAATGTCAAATATTCGTGTAAATTTAGAAAATATTATTAGGTAAATGTAGTTGTATGTGTTACAATAAATATATACATACATAATATATGTACATATATTATGAACTATTAAAAAACTACTAGTAAACAACTTAGTATATTAACAATAAGGCGATAAAATGTAAAAAGAGTTAGTTTTATATAATAAATGATGTATTCAGCCCTTTTTAACGCAACCATTGCTGGGCACGAGCCTCCCTTCAATACGAGGGGATCAGGCCATGGTCCACGACGCTGGTCAAGTGCGGGTTGGCGGACTTCACATGTCTTTCGAAAACTTGCCAGGTTCTCTCAGACATTCAGGTTTCCTCACGATGTTTTCCTTCACCGTAAGGCAAGTGGCATGTTACAAATAATTCGCACGTGAAAATATCAAAGGTGCGTGACCCAGGATTTGAGTCCGCTTCACTCGGTTTCCCAAGCGAGCGCTTTACCACTGGGCTACCACTGCCTTCAATGATAATGGATGATGATAATTTCTTAATTAGGCGTTAGAGGTTTTGCCTATACTATTTGAAGCAAACGTGCCTGAGCACCAAACGTTATCAAAATACATATGAGAATGTCACATTTGGATGTGTTTCATAATAACCTAGAAAGATGTCTCGAATATAATAGTTTTATTGCATAAAACGTAACTTTCGCATGTAAAAATAAGAATTTTATGCGAGTATGTATATTGTAACAATGTGTATTATAAAATTAATAAATCTATCATAAAATTAATAATAATCCCATAAAAGTTAGGAGTTCCCGCGGGAAAGTAAAACATTACAAGAACAGTATCTAGCATATAGTTATAAAATAAAGTTTGTGAGTGAATGAATGAGCTGTAATGACAACAGGTTTAAGTGAAAGAAATCGAGAATGCACGATGGATAGATGACCTAAAAAGGTAGGCATTGGATAGAAACTGGCTGCCAAAAACCGGGACGTTGGTACTTTATCTATGTTTTTTACACCGCAAGTGGTGCCGCGCGCATATGCTGGTATAATACGAAATTAATACCATTACATTTGCAGGTTTCAATAGTGTTCCACTTCGCAGCTACTCTAAAATTTAACGAACCATTATCAGTTGCCATGAAAGTAAACTATGAGGGCACGGACGAGGTCTTAAGAGTTTCAAACAGCATGAAAAATATTGAAGTATGTATTTAATCAATGACTAAAAGACAATTTAAAATATTTAGTCTTCTCTTATTGAACCAATGCACTTTCATATTTTTATGTTCATGTATATTTTTTTAGTCCACACGCAAGTTTTCTTAAAATATAAAAATAAAAATCATCTTAATATTAGGTGATGTTTAGAAGGTTCTTTACAAACATCGATCTAATAACTTACTCATAATATATTAACATAATATCCACACAGCACACCAATAAGGAAAAACCTTGTAAATCAGTATTGTAGTGAGTCTGAATTTGTAACTTTAAATATATGTATATTAAATTCTATTTTTGACGTTTTAAGTAAAACTATCTTTTTGGATTTTTCGCGGATTAATTTTGATTTTTAGTTTCTGTCGTTTCGGTTTCACAGCAATCGTGATCACAGGGGAGTTTCTCGCGGGAGTGACCATGATTGATGTAAAGTATTCGAAACATCAGGAACCAAAAACCAATATAAATTGGCGTGAAATTCCGACAAGATAGTTTTATTGGCTTTTATTTTAGTGGCTTACCCTCGTTTCGCTTCGGGTTCATCCCTAGATAGAAACAAGTCTATCCCACGGGAACTGTACATTTTTCCGGGATATAAAGTAACCTGCCTATGTGGCACCTATGTGCTATTCCAGACTGTAATCTATCTCTATACTAAATTTCATCCAGATCCGTTCAGCCGTTCTGGCGTGATTGAGTAACAAACATTCATTCATTCATCCATCCTGTGAAACTTTCACATTTATAATATTAGGATAGATGTCATATATTCACGATAATCTAAGGAAGTATTCTATTTTAACCTACTTCTTAAAAGAAGATCCTCATTTAGTCGTATTGCTTTTTTGTGCGTATTTTACGTGATATACCTATTATATTCTCCAAAAATTTTAAATTATGCATATATTTTCACAATTTTTAATAAATAGGTTATATCTCAAGTTAGAACCTGAATTTTAAGCAAAATACATTTTCAAGGAAAACTGCAATCTAAGTCGGTGTATGTTTTTTTTAAATAATTATTCATTTACCTGAATATTGAATTACAACGTTGTTTTTGCAAATGTGGATAACACAAACGTGTCAACATATTTATTGTTAGACAAACAAAAACAAATCTATCTCATGGGAACCGTACACTTTTCCGGAATAAAAATTATCCTATTTGTTATTCTGATGTATGAACTATATTATTGTAAAGTTTCATTAAAATCCAATATGTAGTTTTTGTGTACTAAGCTGTATAAGTTACTATAGTTTTTTTAGCTATTCCACGGCAACCCGTTAATTATCCAGGAGGAAGAGTATTTAAAATATTGGACAAGATATAAGGTATCACCGTGCAAAATTTCATCTAAATCGGTCCAACAATTTCAGGACAAACAGACAGAGAAACAAAAAAATTGAAAAAAAAAAAAACTTGATTTGTTCTATGTCTCTTCTCATATCACCCTGACTCGGTTTTTAGCATTTTTTTCTATGTACGTATTCGACCTCTACAGTATTATTATATATATAGATATTCGATCGTATGACAGGGGACCGGTTTAATGGATTTTCTTAAAGCTTTAGCACCTCCAAGTAAATTTCTAAGAAAGCTATTGTTAACTGTAACGCCGGCGTGTCCGCGGTCGTTGAGGGATTAAGGGGATATAGTGTCTAAAGCTTACTTTTTATTATTATTACAGGTTTTTGTATACATGTCTACAATATTTTCCAATACGGACCACGAAAGATCTACCGTTATCGAAGAGTTATATCCCAGCCCCAAACATGTTGATGAAGTGTACAAAATGATTTTAGAGAACGATCCCAATGAATGTTTTAATCCAAAATTATTGGGTATGGTTTAGTATTATCTATATATGTATAAATAGGCAAAGATATAAAAGCTCAGTAAATATAAATGTGTTGGGGCATTAACATGTACAACACCATCTAGTTCCATGGTAAGCCACGAGGCTTGTGTTATGGATACCAGATAGTCGCGGTCGCGGGTTCGAGTCCCGCCGGGGGAATTCATTTGTGTGATGAGCACGAATGTTTGTACTCTAGTCATGGGTATTATATTTATAATGTGTATGTATTTTAAGTTATATATGTATAGTGTATCAACTATCTGGTATCCATTACACAAGCCTCGTTCGTAGCTTACCATGGTACGAGACGGTGCTGTGTGTTAATGTCCCAACATATTTATTTATTTATTTATTTTTTATTAAGGGGACAATATTTTGTAATAAAAATTTAAATTCACTTATTCTAACGGTTGCCATTCTGAAATATTTCCAACAGGTGACCGACCAAACACATATACCTTTTCCAAATCCATGGCAGAAAATCTGGTTGCAGATAGAAGAGGAGCACTGCCCACAATTATAATACGTCCTTCTGTAGGTAAGTTCGTAAAAGTTCGAATCTTATCATTATATACTAATACTAATAATCAGTATATACTAATACTTCTTGTTCGTACAAAATTACATAATTGGTTAATTTATTTTGCTTTCTGCATCGATAGAATTAAGGAAAAATTCTTATTTAAGTCTGGATGAAATTTTCCTGCAAAATCATATTTTATAGTAATAAATAATGAATAAAATAAAGAAATAAGTACATTATTGAAGTTCAAAGATATCAATCCTTACTTTCCCAATAATTGGATATAAATTTTTTTGTTTTATAGTAACATCATGTATCAACGAGCCGATACAGGGGTGGATAGCTAATTGGATGGGCCCAACCCCAATTCTTACATTATTTGGCAAAGGTTTAATCCGATGCTTATATGGAAAAAGCAATTATAACTTTGAAATCATACCCGCGGACTATGTGGTTAATCTTACTCTTATTGCTGTTGCAAAACATGATAGGTGAATAATCGTCAGTTAATTTTGTAACATAAGAAATTTAAATTTAATTCAACCAATATCTTTTTTTTTAGATCAAAAGAATTAAAAATATACCACTCGTGTTCGACTGCAGACAATCCACTTACTATAGGAGATACTTCCAAATTTGTGGCTATGGAGAGTGTAAAGCAGAAATTCAGTAAATATTTTATGTTTAAAATTAAGATAACTTATATAAACATACTATACTTATAAGTATACTAATTTATCATACTATGATAACATCGTATACTTCTTTTCTATTCTGTAGATAGATTTTTAAAAAATGACCTTCTTGCTATGGACTATTTCGTATTAAAAGAAGATGATAACACTAATATTACAAACTGGAGTTTGCCTGTGGCATGGCTCACATAGTACATACATATGTCTGTCGATATTTATTTGCCCATCGGGGTGCGCGGTCTACCATGAAGGTCGGAACCTGGTACTTCTCTGATAGCCAACTGGAGCGTTACAGCCACCCCTTGATTGTTGTGACCTGCCTCGGTAGACCAGCCGTTGAGGCGTTGTATTTGAATGCATAAGCGATCCTGTAATGCCGTGTAGTGATTAAGACCGTAGGATTGGGTTTTAATAGGTAATACTGACATTTCCATATGTGAGTTTCTCACTTAACAACATGTACATAAGTATGCAGGTGGTATGCGTAATTATCACAACTTTAAAAAGAAATGGATATAATAAGGACATCAAAAATTAATGAAGAGTTTTGCAAAATTATTTAAGACAATTTTAATTAGTTTAGTTAACAAACATTCCCTTTATGCACATGGTATTTTTTGCAGATGATCTACCTTACCCTGCAATGATAATAACTAAGTCAAATTGGCTCCTACGTTTGTTACAATTTCTTCTTCACACGTGTCCGGCTCATTTAGCAGATTTCCTATTATTTATAACTGGAAGACGTCCAAGGTAAATATTCTGACTTTGCAGTGCTAACTATTTGTTTCTGTTTATTTGATTGTTTATTTGTTGATATTGTTGTATTTGTTTATTTGTTGATATTTTATTTTCAAAAAGAATTAATTATCACCTTTACAGATACATACAGATGCTTCGAAAAATTACAGTTTGTATGGAAATTCTCAAATATTTTTCGTCAAGATCCTGGTCTATGAAAGCAAAACACACACGAAAATTAATAGATACATTAAGCGAAATTGACAAAAGAATTTTTCCTTGTGATCCCCTCAATATCAACTGGAAAGAGTACTCAGCTATATATTTAAATGGAATTAGAAAATATTTACTTAAGCTTGAATTGGAAAAAAATGTATAATCCTTTCTTAGATCTAAGCGAATATTTGACATTTTAAATAAAACTATCTTTTCGGATGTTTTCGCGGATTTATTTTGATTTTTTGATACCCGACGTTTCGAATGCTTTACAGCAATCGAGGTCACTGGAGAGACTCAAGTCTCAAAGGTTAATAAGTCATTATATAGTTCTTACAGACAGCACCTACCTACAAAATTATACAATGGTTTTTAATATGTGAAATATAAAGCAATCGAAACATCAAGAACTAAAAATCAAAATAAATCCGCGTAAAAATCCCAATAGATAGTTTTATTTAAAACTAGCAGTGCCCTGCAGCTTCGTTCGCGTTGAATTGCTGGTATAGCACATGTTTAGTATATGGGACGCGGCCTCTGGAGGAGTGGGTGGTATTTTTGGATAGTAGAGATTATAGGGAGTCTAAATATACATATAAAAATATTTTTTGGGAAATAAAGGAGTCAAAAGTTATGGAGACCTAAAGTTACAAAATTATCATATTTTTTCATACTTAAATAAGTTATTTCTAAATATAAACATACTTTTAAAGAATAGTAAGCATCCTTTTTCATATACAATTCATATTATTACAAAATATATTCTTTAGTTTCGATGTTTCAATAATTTCACTTAAAACAATATTTATTATAAATAAAATAATCTTACATTTTGACAAAACTGTTATATGGAAATTTTTTAACCCAGATTTTTCACTTTTTCGTACAATTTTTGAAACATTTCTTTCATACAAACTTTGTCCTGACAAAGAAGAATATCACCAACTTTTGTTTTTATTTTACAATACGCTCCATTTAAAATAAAAAAAATACCGTATTATTTTTGATACGTCTTATACTTTACGAGATTTTTAACTGATTAGCTAAGCGTGCGACGATTCGGATTAATCAGCCGTTGTGACGTCATGTTACAACGGTAGGTCAGCGTGTGCTCTGCTCCCGACCTGTGTGTATGTATGTAAGCCTCCCCGGTAACTATGTATTGTACGACCTGCTATAATTAAAGGATATTAAACGAACCTTGGAACCAAACAGTTGTCTCATTTAGATCCTTTTAAGTTTTAAGTTTAGTAATACATACTAATAGATACAAATAACACAGTATTCTTTTTAATAAGTCCCACCCTATTATAAACACCTACGCATTCTTTCTTTTCAGGAAATTTATGTCAAGTTCATAGTATCAACATGACGTATGACGTACATTTTTAAAACACTAGTAATGAGAAATATGTACTAGTAAATAGAAATATGTATAGGATCAAAAGATTTATGAAAAAAAGCAAAATGTTTTTAAGTAATAAGTACTTATTTTTGTATTTTTACTCGCATCTCGACGGCCAAGAAATCGGAGTTATTTGAAAAATAATGGGCCATTAAACCGTTTATTTTAGGCAAGTTTTCAGATTGTCCTTTTTAAAACCGTCATCCATATCGTCATAGACGACACTTTTGGCTCAGTTTGTAGTGACCCTACTTGCTGTGCCAGCGGTTTGAGTCCGGCCGGGGGTATTCCTTTGTGTGATGACACGATGTTTGTACTCCAATCATGGGTGTTTATATTTATAATATGTATGTATTTAAAATTATATATGTGTAGTGTGTCAACTATCTGGTATTCATAACACAAGTCTCGTAGCTTACCATGGCACTAGATGGTGCTGTGTGTTAATGTCCCAACATATTATTTATTTATTTACATCTAATATTGTACTCAGAACACATACATAAAACTTAATTTAAAAACGTTATTGTGGCCGAACATAGAGAACATCCGATAGCAAAGCAATGAATGAGTAAGGTGAGAACGTTGTGTTGTAAAATGACGTCACGCGAGCATGGCGCTTTATTTAAATGAAACAGAAACAGATGTATTTAAAAACATCTGCTACACGGTCATAAAGTTTTATGTCATTTAACAGACCCAGTGACATTATTCGTTACAAAGACAACAAAAAAATAATTAGTCAAATATATATAGATCTATAGATTTTTATGTCTATAGATGTGTATGGTAAGTGAAAATAAAATTGGAAACAAGTTAATTTTAAATCAATTTTCATACTAAGGTTTCACAATTAATTGAAACAACTAGCTCAAGTATTTTTTATTTTTATCTTACAGCTTACCATCAAAGGGTTAGTTTCTAGTAGATTTTATGAAAGCCAAATTAACACTATAATGATAGAATTAACATGATAATCATTAATTAATTAAAAAATAAAATACAGTTATTTCCTATTTTCTTGTTTTTTTTTGTTGATATCTTAAAATAATATGATTTGGAACCTGATGTGTATACCACTTACATGATAATAATATAACTTAACTAAATAAAAAATATATTAAATTAGAACTATAAATATTAAATAATATTAATAGATATCACACCAATAACAAACAACTCGAACACATCAAGCGGGATGATACACAAAAGGCGCGCAGCGCAGCTTTGGTACACCAAGTTGCTTGTTTTCCACCAAAATCATATATTTTAACCCCAAGTCCTGGCCACAAATTGAATGTTAGTATTCATTTATTTATTTATGTACCCGAAAAAAAAACATATTAGTTAAAACAGATACCATGTGTACAAAGGATGACTTATCTCTTTAAGAGATCTCTACCAGAAACCCTCAAGCGTGAGAAAATATAAAAATAATAATGCGGTGCGGTGTAGGTACAAACTACAAACATCAATTATAATATAAATATACACATATACAAACATACATATATACGTACATAGATACATACATACATGTTTACATAGATACTTACATACATACATATATAGTAATTTCTTATACAAAAGTATTTCAGTTATATTATAATACTGTATACATAGTAATAGTACTTGTTTATACATATAATAAAATTGTGACTAAGCCGAATCTGTACATTAAATATTTTTTGGAAAATCTTATTGAAATAGACATTATTATCCATACAGAGTCCGAATCTATAGTTTTTAGAATTTTTGTTTATCTGTTTGTTACCGCATCACAGAAAAACCACTGGAGGGATTTTGATGAAATTTGGTACGGTCATAGCTGGTAATCCGGATCAACATATAGGATACTTATATCATTTTTCTCAGATATGTCTCATTTCTAAGAAAAAATACAAAAACTGCAATGTAATAGTATACTAATATGTAAAACCTAAGAATTTGGTTTTTGATTATCTGAACATGGGTGGAGCCGCGGGAAATGCTAGTTATATAATAAGTAATATTAACATTTAAATAAAAGCCTCATTTGTTTAACAAAAAATTTCTGATACCAGCACAGTAACTAGGTATATATTCCTTCCAATCGATGTCCGCAGGGTCAAAGGGAAATTGTTCTCTTTCCGATGGGGATAAACTTTTGTACAAAGCTGTAGACTTCGCTGCACTAATCACCCAGCTATTATTTGTAAAATTTTCTAAAGTGTCGCGAACTAAAGTTACGGTGGTTTGTAATTTTAAATATCTGAAATAAAATATCATAATCAAATTCTGCGGTAAAAAGTTGACCGGGAAAAAATGTTCTTTTGTCTTAATATTGCTGGGATAATTCATAAAAAACTATCATTCTTACCCTCGGTTCGCTCACGTGTATCCCGAGGTATCCCGAGGCTTTGTTTATATTTAAAAAAATATAATAAAGCAGCTCAAACAAGTAAAAAATAAACACTTGTAATCTCATTCACGCACTCATTCACCCACAATCTTCGAACACTACGCTTGTCTAAACACCTAGTCTCTACTCTACACGTGACGGAGATATAGCCGGTCTACTTCTGCTTCAGCGTCCTTTTTTTTTTTGTTGACGCTGGGGAAACCCATCATGGGGACCCTACCGGCCGTCAATGGGTAGGGTACTGTGAGACTCCTACTCACTAAAACCCACAGCGGAACCCGTCGCCAATTCTACGCACAATATGAGAATTCTGTCAGCTAAAGAAAAAACATCGCGCGTCCATTACTCTAAGTAAGCTTGAATTTTTGATTCCGCCTTACGGTGAATGTCCACGTAAAACATGGAGCTACCACTGGGTAAAAAGCACTGCGGGTACGACGACTTAAATATATGAATGAGGGTAAGTTGTAGGTAAACAATTATTGTTATTTTGAATTACCATTTGCATAATTTACCTTTTTCTTTTTCCAATAATCCATAAAAACATATCAGCTATGTATGCTGGAATGATTTGTATTAAAAATGTGATGGTTGTTACAAGCCACTTAGATCTTGTATAAAAGCAGAAAGGCATAGGTAGGTCATCTGAAAAACAATGGATGCAAAATAATTAAATGTATTAGATTATATAATTATTATGTATACGGTTTCGTTTTAAATATATGTAGAGCTTTAATAAAAAAAGTAATTGAATTTAGCCTTTTTAACGTCCCACTGCTGGGTCTTCCTTCAATACGAGGGACATCAGACCATAGTACACCACGCTGGTGCAGGTTGGTGAACTTCACATGTCTTTCGAAAACTTGCTAGATTCTCTTAGTGCAAAATATCATAGGTGCGAGACCCGGGATTGGAACCCGCTTCACTTGGTTTCCCAAACGAGCTCGTTACTACTGGGCTACCACTACCTCAAAAAACTAATATTTCTGCCTACTTTGTATAAAGTCTTTGTCTGTATTACCTCTGCCGATATATATATCAGTTTTTTTTTCGTCTCTGTCAACCGGCTTTTTTGTTTAGTGATTATTAACTAACTTATTAATCTTACTATAATATTATAAATGTGAAAATTTAAATGGATGTTTGGATGTTTGTTACTCAATCACGCCAGAATGGTTAAAAGGATCTGAAATTTGGCATAGAGATAGATCATAGTTTTTGTATCCCAGAAAAATGCATGGTAAATATATAATTAAAAACTGTTTTTTTATAATAATTATGGTCAAATATCGACAATATCGACCACCGGGCAAACACTAATCAATGTAAAAAAATATATTGGAATAACATATTGTCTCTTTGACATAATTGTCATATCAAAGCCCTATCCTGCCAATGTCACGTAGTATAGAGGGGACTAAACCTGTGTTATCTTAACGCCTCCGTGGTTAGTTTTCAGGAAATCAATTGTTAACTGACATGCCGGCGTATCCGCGACCGTTCAAGCGTATATGGTTGACACAATACATTCATTCATCATCATCATCATCTTTAGCCTATAGCCATCCGCTGCTGAGCGAATGCCTCCTCCAATAAGCACAAACTATCCCGGTCCAGGGCAGCCTGCATCTATCCGCTGCATGCCACTTATCTTAGGTCATACATTCATAGGAATAATTAATTTGCTTACTAAATTTATGTTTGACGGTCTCAGTTATGCACATATCTATGAGACTCTTCATCGTAATAGGATTTATTTCACTTGTACAACTCCCATATACTGCGACATCTTCCGACCTGAGAAAAAATAGCTTTCTATGATATCATATCATTAATGCAATTATAAATATTGCCAGATTTTAAGTAACTTTTGCTTGAAATTGATAATATACTTTTATATAACTTAGCCCAAAGACACAACAGACATACAAACCGCATCTCCGTCCACATTAGTATATAAAAAATACTCCTTTTCTAAGGGGTTTAGCGCTATGTTAGTAAGCCTATTACATTCCTCAGTAAAAATACTGTGTAATAAAAAAGATATTTTTCAATGGGACTAGTAGTTACGAGGTTCATGTATGTTCATACAAACAAACTACATTTTCAACTTTATATATCTATAGTTATCTACATACAGATAAATAGGCAAAGATAAAGCAGTTTAGTGCCTTTTTCTCGTCTGTTTGTCAAGCGATTTTCGTTTTTCTTGTTTAGTAGCTATTGTAGAGCTTTAGTGCTATCAATAAAAATGTTTTGGAAACTGAAAATCCATATATATTTTCCTCAAATTTTCAATAATGACTATAGTCCAATTTCGACAACTAAGCGACCACTATTATAGATAAATATTTTATTGGTAAAGTAATAAATATTTTCTTACCTCGTACCCTTTGCAGCGGCAACGACGATGAGGTTTGATACGTAATCAACTGGTATAAGATCTACACAATTATTAGGGTGCCCGAGTATTACTCGGTTCAGGCCCTTAGCGATTGCATTCGTAAGCGAAGACGCGCCAAGCCAACTGTCTATCCAACCAACTATAGGTTCTACTTTACTCGATGTTACTGAAATAAATCGTACTGCTTTTAGAAATTCAAAATTTTCTGTGTTTCTATGTGTATGGTTGTTACTCCGTAAGGTTGAAATGGCGGACTGGATTCAGATAAAATATACTACACAGATGGATGCCTGGATTAATATATCCGCAGCTCTAAGGCAAATACATAATATTATGTAGTATAAATATAACAGGGTATATTATTTAATTTTAATTCATTATTTATCATCGTAATAACATAAATTATAATAAAAATTAATAATATGTGGGTATATAGTAAATAGAAATGTTTGAATTAAACTTAAAACAATATTTAAAACAGAGAATTTGAATGGTTTAAGCACCGCACTTCACCATGTTCGAGCTTGACATAACGTCATATTCCGGACATTTGATGCCATCAATTTTGATGACCCCTTAGTTGTTCTTACCATCCATGCTAATATTATAATTGTGAAAGTGTGTTTGTTTGTTTGTTTGTCCGTCTTTCACGTTAAAACGGAATGATGGAATGATTTTTTGTGTCAAGATAGTTGAAAGGCTGGAGAGTGACATAGGCTACTTTTTACCACGGGAGCTTATCTACTTCCCACCGGAAAACACATTATAATACTACCAAAAAATTATTTATGATAGGAATTACTTGAAACTTGGTCTTATTTAGTCTTCAATACAAATAAATAAATTCGTGTTTTAGCATTTTTCCAAATTCATCCTATAAGGGGGTAAAATAGGGAGTTTGTATAAAACGTATGAAGGTAATTTACATTTTTAGAGATTTTTTTTGTAGTTTTAAGGCGAGCGAAGCCACAGGTTCTACTAATATAGTCATAAATCCTAAAATGGTATTGATTCAGTAAAAGACTACAAACACCATATTAATACCATGAACATTTTCAGTGATAGAAATCAGTTAGCATGGCATCTGATGCCACATTATATTGCTATTTTTTTTAATTTATTATACCAATTTCGTACATTTGAAAAACTACTACACATTTTTACAAAACAAAATATTTTAGTACTTAATTAAAAATAGTAAAAAAGAAAATATCATAATAGTAGGTGTATGATGTAATTGTATGGTCTATAAATACTAGAAAAAATAATATTTGAAACAAATACGATATGCATATTCTCTATTGTTCTAGCTCATATTTATACTGTATTGAAATCTAACATTTCACGGAAGCTATTTATTGAAACGGCAAAATTTACCATTTATTATATACTAGCGACTCACCCTCGCTTTGCTCGGGTTCCTAGGTATCTTTTTATCATAGCTTTTATTGCTTTGTTTCAAACTGTTAAACAGCACACACCATTAAAGCATCTCAACTGCCACTTTTTTCCGGTTTCGAATAAAGTTATATATTTGCTGAGATTGCTGAGAGTAAATCCATTTTTATCGGAAAATCAATTATTGTAGTACTTTGCAATAATTGTGAACTGATATTGTGGATTATACCTGAGAGGTGGTCACTAATTAATTAAAAAAAATAACTACCGATGAAACATTACTTTTGTGAGATTTTGAAGTGTATAGAAACTTTAAAACTATCGAGAAAATTTGTGGCTCACATGTACGAGTGTAGTGGCTAGCATGTACGGCTGCACACCCGGAGGTCCTGGGTTCGAGTCCCGGATCAGGCCAAGTTTAGTTATTGAGTCTCCTGTATAGTAAGTCTCAGTAACAGCCTGGAGTTGGGAAGTTGGCGGTGTTTCACCCCCGTGCCTCGGAGAGCACGTAAAGCCGTCGGTCCTGCGCCTTAACTCTCACCGGTCGTGTCAAGTGGTCGTCCCACCGGAGTATGAGAGTGATAGGAATAGAGAGTGCACTTGTGTCTGCGCGTACACTTGAGCACTATAATATCTCCGGCGCAGTTGGCTAATCTCATTGAGATTGGCCGCCGTGGCCGGAATCGGCTAGGAGAACATCATCATCAAAAACAAAAGTGATGTATTTGATTGTTTTGTAAAATATATAAACTTAGTGCAGAATTAAACAGGTAAACGTGTTAAAGATAATGGCAGAGAATACATTAACAAAGTTTTTTTTAGATTTGCAAAGGAAAATGGTATATGGCTGAAGCCCGCGCCTGCATATACTCACGAATTGAACGGAGTTGCTGAGAGATATAACAGAACCATTATGGAGCGAGCCAGGTGTTTGTTAAGAGAGGTCAAGATAGATAAGAAGTATTGGCTTGAGTGTGTGAATACAGCTGCTTATTTGGGTAACAGGTTGTTAGCAAACACTGTGATCAGAAAAACACCCTATGAGATATTTTTTAACAGAAAACCAGACAGACGTGTCTAATCTGAAAATATATGGCAGTGAGGTATTTGTGAGAGTACCTGATGAATGCAGAACATCAAAATTAAATCCTAAAGCATCAAAAGGGATACTAGTAGGATATATGGATACAGGTTACCGATTGCTGATCGATAGCAAAGTGGTTATCAGTCGTCATGTGAAATTCATTGAAAAGACTGCAAGTTGTATCAGATTTCCAGATGAAGAAGAAGAAGATAATAATAGAGAAATAAATGAGGAAAAATGTGAGAAACAGCCTACTGAAACAGTGAAAGAAAATACCAAAGAGAGGGATAGCAATGCTGAGGTTAAGGAGATGAAAGGTATAGATCGTCCACAACGAAAAAAGAAATTACCACAAAAGTTTAATGATCATGTTGTTTATGTAAATTATAGTGATGCTTCAGTACCATGTACTTATGAGGAAGCTGTTAAAGGACCAGAGTCTAGAAAATGGGCTACAGCAATGGATAAAGAATTAAAGAGCTTGAAAGAAAATAACACATGGGAGATTGTTGAGGAGCCAGCGGATAAAAATATAATTGAAGTTAAATGGATCTATAGAATAAAATCAAATGGAACATATAAGGAACGTGTTGTAGCAAAGGGTTTTCAGCAGTTATATGAAGAAAATAAAAAAATAAAAAAATAAAAATCTTTATTTGGAACAAATTTACAAAATCAGAACATTGTACGATATGGACTACATTAGTTAAAAACTGTGTTGTAGTCAATAACGCCCACCTCCAAGACATTTAATTAATATTAATACTAGTTCCAATAGCATACATAGAAGTAGTTATAAAAGGTAGTATAGTTATATTTGCAGACATAGATTCTAGAATTAAATACAATAATATATATAGTATAATGCTGTGTGTGTGTGTGTGTGTGTGTGTGTGTGTGTGTGTGTGTGTGTGTGTGTGTGTGTGTGTGTGTGTGTGTGTGTGTGTATGAGAGTTGTGACTGCCACTTAAGTAAGTAGATTTTCAGTATCTTCATAGGTAAGATCCTGTAACCAAGCGATAGTTGCACTTTTGCAAACATGTAGTGTCTTAGGAAATATATTGATAATTTTATTTATTCTATTATATATATTTGAAGAAAAATAATAATAGTGTCGTCGACACAAAGCCAATCGACTACGATGGGTTTCACAAACTATATCAGATCTACGTTTATTGTGAATTGTATAGTCCTTGTATGGTGTTTGTGAATGTTTGCGTAGTATAGTATGTAGAATAAATAGTTTCCTAACCGATAATACCCGTGTGCCTTTATATAGCTCATCGGTAGGATACAGCATGGATTTAAATGTCATGGTTTTAAGAATTGTTCTTTGAGCCCTTTCAAGACGAAGTAATTTAGTTTTTCCAGTCCCTCCCCAAGCTGTAATACCATAAGATAATATTGATTGTGCAAGAGCATAATATACATTTTTTAACAATGGGAAATCCATTAAAGGTCTTAGTTTCTTAAACACGAAAATCAATTTACGAAGTTTTGTGTAAGTAGCCGCAATATGCTCTTTCCATGTCAGGGTGTCGTCAACCCATATGCCCAGATATTTAACATAAGTCACAGGAGTAATTTTTTTACAAGTACATTCGACATTTCTCTTACAATTTTGCTCATGAACATGGATGGAAATACGGTCAGACGGGAGAGAGTTTTTATGTGGAGCAAAAGTAATAAAATTAGTTTTTTCAAAATTTAACGTTAAAATATTTAAATTTAGCCAATTATAGACGGAAGATAGTGCACTTTCTGCACGTGTACTCACTTCTGGCCAGCTTTTACCATGAACGAGAAGTATCGTGTCATCAGCATATGAAATTATACTACAGTTTGGAATAGAGAGTTTAGACAATTCATTGACATAGACAAGGAATAGTGTTGGCCCAAGGACACTGCCCTGTGGTACTCCAAAACTTAAACCAACTTCATCACTCACGGTACCATTAATTACCACGCACTGAGATCGATCACTAAGATAACTTTTAAATAGATCATTCACTACTCCTCTTATACCAATGTCATTTAACTTTGTCAAAAGATTGGTAATTGAGATCGTGTCAAATGCCTTAGTTAGATCTAAAAATATTCCAATAACTTTGTTTTTACGGTTAAAATTTTGAACGATTGTAGTGGTAAGGTCCAAGATCGCATCTTCAGTTGACTTACCACTTCTAAAGCCATATTGGTTCGGAGCTATAATATTATTAGCGGTTAGATAATTGTTAAGTCTACGGTTTAATAGTTTTTCAAATATTTTAGAGAAAGAGGTTAAAATTGAAATAGGTCTGTAGTTATTAATTTTATTTGCATCTCCGTTTTTATAAATTGGATGAATGAGTGCTTTTTTTAAAAACTTTAGGAAAAATGCCTGATTCAATAGATATATTAAAAATATGAACAATCAATGGAATAAGCACGTGTCTAGCTAACTTTATTACAGAAATGGGAATTTCATCCCATCCCGTCGCAGCTGTATTCTTAAGGTTATTTATTACATTTTCTACTTCTGAATGGTCAGTTTTATATAAGGACATAGAAGAAGAGAAATGGGGTACAGGTGAGGAGCAACATGCATTCATTGGGTTTGAATTACCAGAATCTTTAATTTTGGTAGCTAAGGTTTTACTGACACTAGAAAAGTAATTATTAACATTATTGACTGCGGTAACAGGATCACTTGCCAACATTAATAAGTTAGTAGGTGATTGGGTTGGAGGTTTGAGATGGCTAACATTTTTTATAAGATTCCAAGTCTCTTTGGCGTTATTTTTAGCTTTCAAGAAGTTATTCCGATCATAATCTCTTTTGATTCTTTTAAGAAGATTATTGCAGAAGTTTTTATACCTATTATATATTGTGAAACAATTAATATCATCCGGGTTTTTTTTCGATTTTCGAAATAATTTATCGCGATTACGTATACATCGCAAGAGTCCGGGTGTGATCCAGGGTTTGATTATTCTGTTCTTATTAGAAGTTTTTATTTCATGTGAGTTTCTTTTAACAATATCGGAAACCGACGTAACAAGTTTTAAAGCTGCACGTTCAACATTGTAATCTTGAAGGATACCAGAAAAATTAAATTTTTCTAATTCTTCAAGACAAGCCGTTTCATTAAGTCGTTTAGCTGACTTCCTTATGCTATGAAATTTTAATTGAAGATTAAAGTTGACGATTACCGGTGCATGATCAGTAAAATAGGAGTCAAGTACGAGAGTATTGGCAATATGTGTAGATTTTAGGATAACATGGTCGAGGCAACTATTATTTCGAGTAGGCAAGGTATGGGCCGGAAGTAGTCCATGTGACATGTGAAAAATGAAGAAATATATTCACCAGTTGCCAGAATGACAATTTTGAAAGTGTTATTGTCTATAGCATGTGTAAAAATTTGGCAAATTGAGCAGATGGGCATAGATACTGCTTTTTTAAATGGTAATATTAAATCTGAAGTATATATTTATCCACCAGAGGGCTATAAAGTTGAACCAGATAAGGTATGTGGTCTTAAGAAGTCATTATATGGCTTGAGAGAAAGTCCTCGGGACTGGTATGAATGTTTTCATGATTTTATGACGGAAATAATGTTTACTAGATTAAACTATGACTACTGTTTATATAAAGGTAGTGTTAATAATCAAGAAGTTTATATAATCCTTTATGTTGATGATTTATTGTTATATTCATGTGACAACAAAGCAATAACTTTTAAAGGACTTATTTAACTCTTAAAGGACACTTTAAGCAAACGTTTTAGAATGAAGAACATGGGAAAAGTCAAGCATTATTTAGGAATTGTAATTGAGTACAACCTTAAAGAAAGGAAGATGTATTTAAGTCAAGAACATTATATCAAAAGTGTTGCTGAAAAATTTAATGTCACAGAGTCGAAGAACTTTGAAACACCAATGGAATTATACTTAAAGCTACTACCTGCTGATAAAATAAATGAAAACTTAAAGTTCCAAAATTTAATTGGAGCTTTGCTATACATAGCTAGTGGAACTCATCCAGATGTGTCTTTTTCAGTAAATTATTTAAGTCGTTTTCAAAACAGTTATGATGATACTCACTATAAATATGCTTTACGTGTGCTAAAATATCTATATCGTACTCGTTCTTTGAAGCTAGAATATAATACAAGTTGTGATATTGTTATGGAGGCCTATGTAGATGCCGACTGGGCTGCAGACATTGTAGACATAAAGTCAACAAGTGGAATATTGATTCGTGTGTTCGGAAATACTGTTATGTGGAAATCTCAAAAGCAGAAGATTGTGTCTAGAGCTTTTACTCATGCTGAGTTTTATGCATTAGCTGACTGTGTTAAAGAAGTGATCCCTATTAAAGGAGTATTGAATGATATTGGGATAAAAATAAGTGATCCTGTAAAAATCTATGAAGATAATACTGATGCTATAGCATTGTCTAAAAATGGTAAATTCTGCAAAAATTCTAAGCACATTGATATTAGTTACCATTTTGTGCATGACTTTGAAAGTAAAGGTTTAATTAATGTTCAAAAACTTTCTACAGATGATCAAATAGCTGATATATTGACCAAATCATTAGGTAAATGTAAATTTCAACAGTTTAGATATTTGTTAGTAATTACAGGTTAATGGTAATACTCATTAGTATTAATGATAATAAATATTAAGTAATGTTAATAAGTTAAAAATTATATACTGCTAATTGATTATAGTTTTTTATTATAAGTTTTTTTGGAAATTTGTATAAGTTCTTAAGTTGATATGTAGTATGTAATGTAAACTGTTAATATAAAATGTTAGTAAGTGTAAACTTGTATAAGGATACAAAATCAAGGAGGTGTGTTGAAATAATGATTTTGTATTGTATTGCTGTCAACACAATTAGTTCGGTTTTTATAATGTGTAGTTGTCTCTTATAAAATAATATTTTTAATCTGTGCCAATTTTGTAGTAAGAAAGAAAAGCGGCATCATGTTTCGTGGCGATAATAAAAAGTAAAAAGTTTAAAGTATAAATTGTTAAAACATTAAAATACTGTGTGAGAAATGAAAACTTTATAATAAATAGTTGATTGAAGTCGTGCATCGTTTTATTAAATTAACAGTAGGTATAAGGCAAATAGCATCTAGATACACACCCGAGAAAAGCAAAAGTCAGTCACCAATATAATAATTGATAAATGCTAATCTAAGAGTTCAAATATTTACACAATTTAAAAATATACACAATTATAGCAATTTAAAATAATAGGATGTTGCAAAGTACGTACTTACTGATGGTCGAACTATTATTGTTGGTATGGTGTCATGGTTTTGGGCCACCATGGACTCAGCAATTGCTTTCGTGAATAAGTATGTGTTTTTTCTTCCTTCTGTAAAATGGAAATTAAATATTTAAATGTATAATATAACGTGACTTTTAGATAAAGGACACATTATAAGTTTTTATGTTGTATTGTTTTAATTGGACCATTATTATAATTGCGAATGTTTGTATGTGTATGTTTGTTGGTCCTTCACACCAAAATGGCTCTACGAGGAGAATACAAACAGACTAGATACTCACCAACACAGACTAAAAAAGCTAGTACTACCGAATATAGTGCCCGTAATAATGATTAAAGTATTATATTTTTGGAAGTTTTGGGACGAGAATAAAGCTCTTGATCAAACCCTTTACAGTAAAATGGTAAATTGTAGACTAATTTTAAGAGTACGAATTCGGAAACAACGCACTTCGCTTATCACCACATCTGACATATATTTTGACTGTAATGATTTTAACAACATTATCACCAAAATTACTTACTTGTACTTATAAGTCGTTGAACTTCATCTTTAGTGATACCAGCTTTTATTAAATTTTCAACTTCTTCTAACGTAGCTGGAGCTGGATATATCACCTCTTCTACAAATTTCCTGTTAACGTTACTGTACGCAGTAGACACATGAACAAAAGCCTGTAAACACACCAATTCGCTCCGTAAAAAACTACAGATTACAAAATTGGACATGAAGTACTTTTTTTTCCAAATTCGGACTTTTTTTATATGCTAAAGCTAAGAAAATAAACACGTATTTAAACATAGAAATTCGTTTTATTAATTCTTGTACATTAGAAAAGCCAAAACTAAATTTTAATTTATTTTTTTACTATACATTTTTCTCACAGTGTTTGTCAGTTAAATAGGTTATTGAGAACCACCGCGTAAGTATTTACATTCGAAACAGTAATAAAATGTACCTTTTTATTTCGCATTCGCTGACAAAGATCTAGAACACGTAACGTGCCCAATACATTGATGTTGACGGCAATTTTCAACGGTTCATTGAATCTCACCGTAGCAGCCGCATGGAACACTATTGATACCTGTAAGCATTGTTCATAAAAAATATAAAAATCTTTAGAAGTACTACATATAAGGTCAGTTCACTTGTCAATTTGGTTAAGACTGCCTCTTTAACCTAGTGGCTAGCACGTACGGCTGCAGATCCATGGGTTTAAGTACTAGGTGCGGCCTTAGTCTTAAATTTATGCATCATGATATCCCACTAATCTCATTCCACTCTATGTTCCCTCCCTGTGGCACTATTCTAATATTTTTGCGCAGTAGTGGCTTATTATTGCTAGTTTATTTTTGCCCCCTAGGGCAAAATTAAAATTTCTGTCTGGGTCCTAATTATAGTATGCTAAGGGTGGGTACCGGTATTGATATGATGATAATACGTATACGGTACAAAAAATAGAAACGTGAGTTTTATAGTTTAGCCGTTGCCTATTGCCCCTCTACATGTGCTGCCCGGAATGTCTATCCCCATCACGCTATGCCTTTGCTACGAGCAGGCTAGTCTCATACAGATTGGCCACGTTGTCATCATTGTTAGTAGATATAATGGTCAAGAAGTGAGATATTTTTAGTATTATGCAACACAAAGATAACAAAAAAAAATTAGCTAATTTAAAAACGTTTTCTTCTTCGATAAAACCGTAATTTGGGTCAATATATTAGAATTATTAATCTCTCAAAATGATACTTCCCAGATATTCTTAAATTATATTTCCATCGATCATTTAACTGCCGCGTTCGAGAAAACTGACCAAGTAAATTGGCTATGAAATCAGCTTATCGTTTATTACGTTAGTAAAATTCTAGAAATATATAAGTATTCCTGTAGTAAATATATATGACTAGTATTGAATATCATTTTAGATTCTCACGAAAATATAGTATTTACTATAAATTACTACCAGAACCCGCGACTTCGCTCGCGCTATAATTACAAAAAACTCTAAACTCTCTCTGATTCTATTTTATCTCCTTATGGGATGAATTTCGAAAAATGCTAAAACATGTATTTATTTACTTATATTGACGATCATTAATACCAAGTTTTAAATAATTCTGATCATAAATAATTGTTTAAGTTATATTATAACGCGTTTTCCCGTTTTTTAAATAAATAATAACTTACGTTTTCTATTAACATTTGTTCATCTTCTTCGTTAATTCCAAGTTTTGGTTCAGAAATATCACCGATAATTGGTATAATTTTATTTAAAGATTTTGGTCTTTCATTTCTCAGTCGTAAAAATACCTATAAATACAAAAATATAACAAATTATTTCATTATATAACAATTAGCAATAAGCAATCTTAACCCGTTAAGTATGAGGCAGAGTATCATACCCAAACTATAGTTAAAAGTTGTTTCAATTTTATAATATTTGGTAATACTGGGGCTCTGAGTAACGGAAGTCAGAAGTGCGCTGGAAGATATAGTGGCATGGACGCAGTATTGTGTGGAATACCAAACAAGATATTTTTGCATAAAGCTTTTTCGGGTAATACGTAAATAATATTCTTTATTACAAAAATTACTCTATGGAACTTGGGTTGAAGTATTATAGCCTGCCTGAAGTATTAATTAAAAATTACAAAACCCCCCACCATCTTGGAGTGATTTTCATCAAACATAGCTTAAGACACTCCCGACTAATTCACCTTTCAAACAAAAAAATAAAAAATCTAAATCGGTTCATCCACTACTACGATGCCACTGACAGACATACATAGACACGTCAAACTTATAACACCCCGTCATTTTTGCGTCCGGGTTTAATCAATTTCACGACACTTCGTCAGCTAAAGAACTCAACAAGGGGCGCTGAGTTTTAGTAGGTAGATAGGTTAGCTCATTTAATCGACGAGTCTCGCTTAAATATCTGTATAGACGAAGTAGGATTGTTTGTAATTAAGTAAGGATAGTTCAAAATTATTGAAAAACGTGCCATACCGGTTTTTCCAACATATCTTGAAGACTTTTATGTATATCAGCATCACACTTTTGTCGCATTAGAAGATAAATTTTACTAATTCCGGAAAAGCTATACAGTAACTTTTCTACGAGTACCTGCAATATATATGTATTACAATAACAGATAACATATTTTGCTACAGTCTTACTCTTATTCACTTTAAAATTCCATTATTATATTAGACGTTTATAATTTATTTGTTTACTAATGAAATGTAATTTGGCATATTTTAGTCAAGATTTAAATTAAATTTAAATAAAAGCCTGTTTTTTTACATGTTTAAAGCTTTTTAAGGATTTTTTTTACTTTTTTCCGTATTCTTCTCGGCACATCCTTTCATTTGATATCCATATCATGGGGGTGCATAAAAAAATAGTCCGCCATCTCCAGGAGTCCGCCATATTAGATTTACAATAACGTCACTAAGCTTATTGTCTTTCACTTATCAATCCCTTTCATTTGATGTCCATATCATCATAAGGGCTGCTATGGAAATGATAAATCACCATTTTGTAACGTTCACCGTTTTGAATAAAAAATGGAGTCATTTACGTAATGGTGCAGTCACGAGAACCAAACCCGTGAGCCTCAGCTCAATCGAACTCTGGTGAGTGGGTTTTTAACTTACAAGATTTGTTTACAGACACCGGGACAGGTGAAACTAAATAAAAGTTTGTAATAATTTTTATTTTTAATACCGAAATAAATGCCTTATATTCGTATATAGACATCACATTTACTAAAGAAAGATTTAACGACTACCTTCATACTGTAGTCTAAATCTGTCGCATCGTAAAAAAATCATTCTCATCATTCATTTTTCATTTTTCATTACGCGCCAAAAGAAGTTCAATAAAAATCTAAGGTAATCAATCTAAGACTTGAATATTTTTGAAAAATTATTCTGCAAGGTGTACTAGAACTAAAATCATCTTTAATGATGTGTTCATAGAAATCCTGGAAATATTTAGTAGCTACAATGGTCTAAAATATAGAACAAAGAAGAAACCGAAAAAACTAGTATTTTAACCAAAAATCATATATTATTTATAATATTTCGTACCTTTCCAAGAAATCCTGTACCTCCAGTTATAAAAATTGATTGTCCATCATAAAAGTCCGCAATACTTCGGTCCATTATGCCACAGAGTTAGAAAAATGAGTGCAATTTGAAAAATACTTCCTATTTATACCATTATGATACAGATTAATTATGCGTCGCTATTTGCATTAATTATTCTCTGAATTATTAAGCAACCTTTTATAGTTATAAATAAGTCAGTACGACTGTATTTCATTAAATATTTCTAGTATTATGAATAAACTAGCATTGCCCGCGTATCCGCTCGTGTTCAGATGACCAAAAACCAAATTCTAAGGTTTTACATATTAGTATACTCTTATATTGCAGTTTTTGTATTTTTTCTCAAAAATGAGATATTTTCCCGCGGTAAGAAGTATCCTATATGTTGACCAGGTTAACCAACTATCACCATACCAAATTTCATCCAAATCCCTCCAGTGGTTTTTCTGTGATGCTGTAACAGACAGACAGACAGACAGACAGACAGACAGACAGGCAGACAGACGGACGGACAGACAGACAGACAGAGAAAAATTCTAATAACTCTCTGAATCCTCTGAATCGATAATAATTTTTATTTCAATAAGATTTTCCAAAAAATATCTAATGTACAGATTCGGCTCAGTTACAATTTTATTATATGTATAGATTAATATTATGAATACAATTCCCTTTTCTTGTTATTATCTTGAAAGCAAGCCATTAAGCACAAATTACGTCGCCAACGCCACGTGGAATGGAAACGACGAAAGAGATTGGTCGGTAAAATAAAATCATTAAACTATATCAGATATACAGTTAACAATAGATGTCTTAGAATTTTAATTAATTTCTTCGAAATTTACCTGGAGATGTTAAAGATTTATCTATACTATAATAAAGCAGTAACTTAGCAAAATCTGTACATGAAATATTTTTAAAAAACAATGACTGCAACGTATTATGTACACAATATAGACCCCAAAACCAATAGTTATTAAAATTTTTGTCTGTTTGTCTGTATGTCTTTATGTGCGCGTTTCACGCAAAAAGTAATGAACCGAATTCAACGAAATTTAATTAATTGATAACTTATTACTACTATTACTACTACTACTGGCGATCGCAGCTTGAATGGATGTATAATGCTTACTTTTCAAAAGATTTTAATATATTTCAATTATTATTCAAAGTTTTTCTAAAATATTTTTCTAAGCATTCATCTCGAGCATTTTCACAATTTGGAAAATGCTCGAGCGTCCCGTAGTTTCATTATCCGTAATACCAGAATATCCTGGGATCCAAACCAGAGAGACCGACAAGCCCTTGTGATGACGTAATAAATATACAGAAGTTCACGAATCCTTGAAATAATAGAAGGTCTTAATTTTGTTTCGAAACGAATTCTCCTTAATTGAAATACAACCACTGAGTCTGTCAGTATAACTGTCTGTTAGAAGTCGTGGAAAAGGGTGAACAGGATTACTTCTAGCAGAGCAACAGCCTAGTCTTCAAACACCAATGCTTCTGAAGGACATTTAAACTGATAAATAAATTGGGATATAGGGACTCAGCATGAGTGCGACTTGCCGATGAACCGGTCATATAGAAATTGGCAGCATAAGAGTAATGGGGGATCAACGCATTCAACTTGGAGGGCATTGGTAGGAGTCATTGCACCTAATATTGTTCGCAGGTATTTACATTGTATTCAAGTAAGTTTTTCCCTAGCTATTTGGTTAAAGGAGTCTAAAACAAATACACCGTAGTTAATGGGAGATACAATGGAATTGTATATCAATTATTGAGAGTGCGGGTGTGCGCCCCACCACACACATAAAACAAGAAAATGCTAAGACTATCTATTGTACTCAGCTCTTTTCTAAAGCCAAACTGAGAGGGTGCTAAGATATTTCCGCTCTCTACTATCCGTCGGGTACCAAAAGTCTAAATAAATCTGTGGAAAATTCCGAAAAAGATAGTTTCATTTAAAATGTCAAATATTCATGTAAATCTAAGAAAGTATTAAGAAACATTATCTTAAGACATAACCATTATTATATATATTTTAATAGACTGTTGTCTTACAAATTCTAGGCTTTCTTTATCAGTAGCAAAATGTTTGCTAGTACAATATAGGCAAGTTGTACTTTCCATGGTAACATCACAGACATTACTGTGTACTCACACACTCACTAAGAGGTTGGGAAAACCTGAAACACCTTGGCTTAGAACTAAACTTACATTTAGTGTGACTAAAGCGGCAACAATTGAGGCACTGTATTGTAGGTAATTTTTCAGTCTCAAAAGGGAGGAAAGTGTGAAAAGAATACGCTTCTTACTCAGGCAACATTTATCCTCTGAATGTTATAACCACCGACGAAGTCGGTACACAGGTAACGACACACTCACATTCTTACGTTTCAGACGTCTCGCTTTCATAACCTTACCACAGCCGCAGAGGAGTTACGATGACTCAAAAAATTCGTCCACTGCCCGGTAGAAACAATATTGTGGTCGTCAATATATTTATAGATAATTTGAGAAATTTAGAAGTTTTGCCATCCCATCCACATTAATGGGTATTTTTAAGTGGTTTTATAACTCTTGCAACCTCATATTCATCAGTTGGGTTCAAATGAAACGAACCACAACAATTTTGACTATTTTGTATCATGCGTAATAGTTTGTCTTCTGTCATTGGCGTTCTGTGTATAATAATATTATTCGCTAGCTCTGCACCAATACAACCAATACTCTGCACCAATACCAGCAAAATATTTGTTTGCATAATCAAGTGATTCTTTAGGGCTAGTTTTGAATGTAAGTATTTCCGCTGAAGTATGTCTATCTTTATTTAAATAACATATTTCCGTAACACAATCCCATTGAATTTTGGGTTTAAATTTATTTTGATTTAGTTTTTTTCTATAATATAACTGTTTCACAGTATTTAGAACTTTCCTACATCTATTACGATATCGAACGTAACTTATTTTAAGTATAACATTATTCGAGTCCTTACGTAATTTACTGTGGGGTCTATCTCTATGTTTCATATACATAATTAAACCAGGGGTAATCCACGGCTTAATATTTCTTTTCCTAGCCAAAAACTTTGTGTTAGTAGTATTTGAGTCTAATGCAGTCATAATTATAGCAAGAAAAGTATCGCTATCTTCATTAGCATTTAAATCTTTAAGTAATGTATTTCATTCAATGCTTCTTAATTGTTTAATGACAGTATCATAATCTATTTTTTATTATATGTTATTGTTGATTCTCTTGTGATTTTCTTTTGTGAAAATGCGACTATAACACTTGCATGATCCGTTAGAGTTATTTGCACGTTAGAGTTGATAAAAATTTAATTTAATTAAATTTGATTGAAATTAAACATTATTCAAGATGAATCATACAAGCACTTTGGAATCTTTAATTTAAATAAGGTCAGGGCCGTCAGTCCGTGAGTAACCGGCTTGGTAAGCAGTTCTGCTGAGAAGAACCGGCAAGAAACTCAACAGTAACTCTTTTAAATATCATCGAGTTATTTCTTTTAGTAATAAATTTACCTGGAGGTGTTATAGATAGCCCGCATATGAGTCAATATATTTTAATTCCACACATTTTCATCAACAAGAAACTTTTGAACAGTGTAATATACTTTACTCATTAATATATTTTTAATTTTAACGTTAAGATATTAAAAAGATAAATCTAAGACAGTCTATGGAATCTTATATTATGTACAAGTATATGCGTATACTCAGGCCCATGAAGGATTTATTAGCTTTTGGTGTCGAAATCTGGGCGTTACAAGCTTATTTCTATTCCTTGTGTTTATTGTGTGTCTATCAATGTTATTCTTCTATTATTATGTCAGATTATTACCAACAAAAAATATATATTATACAGTACTAGCGAGTCACCCTCGCTCCGCTTGGGTTCGTCCCTATTTACGTTTTAACGTTTTGTATAGATTTCTTGGAGACGAGATATTTTCCCGCAGTAGAAAGTCTCTTCTTCTTCAATCTTGTATGTTGACCCGAATAACCAGCTATCATCATACCAAATTTTATCAAAATTTGTTTAATAGTTATCTCGTGATGCCTTTCCAGACAGGCAGATAAGCAGACAGATAGATAAAAATTCTAAAAACTTCTCTATCGATAATAATGACTATTTCAGAAAGATTCTCCACAAAATATTTAATGGAAAGATTCGGCTTATTTACAATTTTATTATATGTATAGATTTTTGCGTACCGCCTATCACTAGCAAGTTGTATGAGTTGTAGCTTGTTTTATTAAATACTTAAAGTGGATTGTATTTTTTTTAAATATATAGCTAGATACGCTCATAGCCTGTTCAATATTTCAATATTAGTGCATTGCTAAAATGACAATGAGCAATAAAAGGTAGTAGTACGAAGTGAACTATTTATGACCTCATTTTTGGAAGTCACAAAATATACTAGACTATTGACCCTAAATAACGCTGCTTTTTAAATTCAAAAATGTCTGTATGATTTGTTTCATGAAACAACTCTGAGGGTCTATTCTCAATATAAATGGAATAATTTTTGTAATCAGAAGAATAATTTCAGAGATTACCTTCTACAATCAAACTTACAACTTTACCTCTCAATAATATTAGCGTAGTTGTAAATGACACGAGAAAGGCTAGCAGGACGTTCTTTGGAAGAGGTCAAGGCCCCCAGTAGTCATTTTTCGGCTAGAATACTGATGAAGGTGACTTTTAATTTGTCTCGAGACACGAAACAGAGTAAAATTATACAACCCTTACCTATAAGAAAAGATTAAGCAACTTCTACGACTTTTTCCCAAAATTATGGATGATAATAGTTTCCCAGAGTTTCACAGATCAGCCCATCTCACTTGGTTTATTTTGGACTGAGATAGCAGTTTTAGTTATTTAACTACAAACACAAATATTATTCAAATTTCTTAAAAAAATTCAAATATCAAAGTGTTTGTAATACCCTAATTGAACAAATAGATACTCATTTTTAATATTCCAGGCATATTTATACGATACAGCTTCTTAATTATTGCGACAGAAAAAATAAAACAATAATATTTATATTTAAGTTATTTATTTCAACATAGTATACCCTAAATAATTACAACCTTAAAATTTCAAATAATTTATAAATAGCAGTAAAAACTAATATCACTAGCCTAAATGGCTTTAAAAGACATGAATAACTTAATGATGATATTTACATAGCATGTCTGATTATTCCATTTTCTATAACCAGCCTTTATATATCGTATACTGAAGAAGACCTAAATTACGTTTAAAACGAACTACGTCTTACACAAAAATTGACGTATACCTTGGCAATAGCTTGGGATATAGACATTCCAGTCGATATCGACGGGGTTACAAGGGAACAGCTCTTGATCTGATGATGAGAGAGATTCAGCAAGAGCTACAGTCTTAGGTGCACAGATAAGCCAGTTATGCGACGTGAAGTATTCCAAAGTATTGCGTACGAGAGACACACGATTCTGGATCTTCATGTATCTGGAATTAGAAATGTTTATTTAAAATAGAGACGTTTATTTATACACATAAATAAAATTGAAGTGTCTGTTTGTAATGACAAGATAACAGCTTTTTACTATATATTTAGATAAGAAGCATATTGAATTATATACACAACTTTTGAAATTTTGTCCGTCTGTTTGTTTCAGCTAATCTCTGAAACAGCTGGACTGATTTTGACAGGACTTTTACTGGCTGGCAGATAGCTGATGTTATAAGGAGTAACGTAAGCTACTTTTATTAAAAAATAGGGTTCCGCTCGAAAAAATTAAAACGTACTAGGGCCGCACCAATAAATGTCATGATTTTTGCAGGTATACTTGCAGGTATTACTTTGCGAGCGAGAAAGATAGCGACAATTTATAAGTACATATATTTCAGTACTTAGCAATTTTCTTTAATTCATTAAAAATAGAAGTAACGTGATATAAAAACACCCTTCTATTTGCGATAGGCGTTAAAAATAGGACAACGTTGTACATATACAAAAATACATATTTTCTTTTGTGTGAATACTAGCAATTTACCCTCGCTTCGTGAAATTATTTATTATGCCAGGTCATAGCCTATCTGTGTACAAAGTTTCATTGAAATCCGTACAGCCCTTTTTGGCATGGGGAAGAGTAACAAACACACACTTGCATACGCACAAACTTTCTTATTTATAATAATAGTCCGAGATATTTACTTGGCTTTTTTTCCTGTTATCAATAAAAATATGTCAGCTATGTACGCCGGTATCGTTTGAAATAGCAGCGTCATAAGAAAGACCACCCATCTGAACTGTGTAAAATGTATTGACGGCATAGGTATATCGTCTGAAAAATAGAAATAATTGTATTTTTATTTCCATAATATAACTATTATAACATTGTATTTATTATACTGTTACATTTTATTATAACATTTTGCGTTTTCAGCGGTCATATAATTAAGACTAGCACATTGTATTGAGATATTTAACAAGGTTGAAAGGTTGTAAACAAATCTAAAGGCAAATTACAAGGTTGTAAACAAACATTTTCTATTCCTGTCTCTTTTGATGAGTATCAAAATGAACAATTTGACATTTGTGGTGAGCGACCAGTCACAGGATACACCGACTTTAAAAAGTCAATAAATATACTTAGCTCGACTTGGGGTTCGAACCCAGCACCACCGGATCTGTAGCCGTACATGCTAGCCACTATTAAGTGACAAGACTAACCAATCAACAAGGTAGTGAAAGTGTATTTGAAACATCGATTAAAACAGTACTAGATACACAAACCCATGCAAAAAATTCTCTTAAAACTGTCACAATTGTGTTTAAGTATTATTCCAGTTGAAATAAATATACAACATTGTAAATTGAATCTTATATCCAATACTTAAAGTTGTTTTTACAAAAATAAATTTAAATTAAAAGCGCGCTCAAATGTTCAAATGAGCGCTCATTCGGTGAGGACATTTTTTGTCGCTGATTGTGTTGTTGTGAGAAAAATGGATCTCCTCCTTTATATATATGAGAGGGTCGTTTCACGATGTTAGATAGCACTTATTCTTTCTCAATAAAGAGGCTATAAAATGGAAAAAATAACGTTTCAAATCTGACTGAAAGTAACAGAGATCAAACAAACAAAACGCATATTCCTTTAAATAAGACGCATATTATGTTCTTTAGTTATTATTTTATATTAAAGTTAAGATTTTATTATAGCGTACTTACAAAATTTATGTTTGTTACTGTCGGAAATAATCAACTCTGCAAGTTTTTGCATACGGAGAGGGTTTACTGCGCTTGTACAGGAGTTGTACACGGCCACTTCTTTTGAACTGCAAAATTTAATATAATACATAATTTAAGCAACCATTTAATACTATTTACATATAATTTTGAATTTTAATATACATAGAAAGGAATGGATACAAGAAATGAGTTAAAATGAAACTAAACAAAGAAGTAGAGTATCAATTAATAAAGAAACCTGAGAGATTATTCTGGCAATGTTATTTTATGATAAACCATAGTTCATGCGATATTCTTATTTTTTAGTTATACCTGTCATAAACTTTTGGAATATTGTTATTAAAATTTTAATATTTTCTTCGAAATTAATATTGGACGACCAAATGCAAAACAATTTGGCGGTCAATGATAAATATTACAAAAAATTATACATAGCAAAAACTTATATTTGCTATAAAAAATAGGCGGATAGTAAATAATTATTGTTATTAAAAAACACCATTTACATTTAGCATCCAATTAGTTATAAATAATTTAATCATTAACATTAACAATGACTAATTTAACAATTAGTAGGACAGCGAATTTTTTTATTTTTTTTTTTTATTTAAAGAACTGAAAATTTAAAATGTGGTACGTATTATTCAAAAAAAATTACCATTCACACTTAGCAGCAGCAACAATGATCAAGTTAGATACATAATCTACTGGTATGAGGTCCAAAGCGTTATTAGGATTGCTAATAAGTACACGGTTCAAACCCTTCATAATCGTTGTTATTAGAGCAGATGCACCAAACCAATTGTCTTTCCAACCAACAATAGGTTCTTTTTTACTAGAAGACACTGAAATATAAGGAAAGATGTGAAACTTTGTATATAATTGGTGAATTTATATCATTACTAGCAGAGCCCGCGGCTTCCCTTGAGGTAAAACTATAAAAAACACTAAAAAGGTATGTTTCATACAAACTTTCAACCCCTATTTTACCCCCTTTTGGGACGAATTTCAAAAAATGCTAAAACAATTATTTATTTAATAGTATTGAAGAGCATTAATACTTAGTTTCAAGTAATCTATACTAATCCATATTAATATAATAAATGTGCAAGTTTATGAGTATGGATGTTTGTTACATTTTCACGCCAGGACGGCTGAACGGATCTGGATATCTCTGTGCCTGTATCCATAGTCTGAAATAACACATAGGCTACATTTTATCCCGGAAAATTGTACGGTTCCCGTGGGATAGGTTTGTTTTTCATTTCTGATCATACATATTGTTTGGGTTGTATTATAACGTGTTTTCCTGTGGAAATGGCATAATCTTCCGCAGTAAAAAGTAGCCTTTATCACCCTCCAGCCCTCCAATTATCCCCGCACAAAAATTACGCCAATCCTAATTACTCTGTTTCGACGTGAAAGAAGGCCAAACAAACAAACAATCAAACACACTTTCACATTTATAACTTAAGTATGGATATGGATAATTAGTTATCCATTTATATGAATTGATATAGATAATTTGATACATTATTATTGATTATATTTATTAAAATTTGGATACGCCAACGGCTCTTTTTGCGGATTTTTTCATCTAAAATCTTAGTCTCACCTGTAACCGTGATTGCTGTAAAGCATTCGAAACTTCGAGACCTAAAAATCAAAATAAATCCGCGAAAAAAACCGAAAAGACAGTTTGATTTAAAATGTCAAATATTCGCGTGAATCTAAGAAAGTATTATCTGAATTCCATTATAACAAGAAAAATATTTTCAAAGCAAACTAGTATATTTAATGACACTATTCAAGATCTCACCTATTGAAGGGCGTACTATGATTGTTGGGACGTTTCCACGATTTTCAGCCACAACATTCTCTGCTAAAGCTTTGGTAAATGTATAGGTGTTAGGTCTTCCTTCTGCAATAATTAAGTTAATTATTTACGTTAGAAATAATTATTATATATAGTTTTAAAATTAAGTAGCGGTTTTTTTCAGCAAAACATATTATGATAATTTGTACAGGTGATATTCGGATTTGGATCTCAATATAAAATTTGAGAATTACGTAATAAGAATCCAGACGAATTACTATGCAACCAAGATCACGTTCGCAATGCATATTGTATAGGTAATTCGTCATTATATACCGTAACCATGATTTGATATAAAATTAAATTATTGAAGAATAAAAATAAACAAATATATTTTTAAATGGCCAATTTAATCGCTTTAGTCATAGAATCATTATAAAATTATCTCAATCCCTATTTTTAGATTTCTGCTCTTAATTGATTGTAGTATATTTTATCTAACTCAGAATTGGTGTCAGATCCGACTCGGATCTTGCTAGATTCTCGTTAGCTGATTTTTCTTGAATCCAGAAATCCATATTACTTGCTGTATTTTATAATCCAATATTTTAAAATTTCTTATCGTTAAGGGCGACAGGGTTTGATCTAAGTGTGGTTGTAAAGTTAAAACTAGAAAGAACATCATCAAAATAAAAACCAACTTAAAAAAAACACTAAAAAGTGAAAAATTGCTGATTGGTAGTTTTCAGTTACTTTAGATACCTAATCAGATATTTCCGAAGTCAAAGTTCGAAGCCAGCCGATACAAATCAAAGCACATCGACTTTAGATAAAATATCTGATTAGGTATCTATAGTAAATGAAAACTACTAATCGGTTATTTTTTACTTATCAGTAGTTTTTTTTAAGTTTTTATTCTTACTATTTTAATGTAGACTTAGTAGCAAAGTAAGAAAAAATTATGTAGCTGAAATTCAATCAGTCCCTATTTTCTACACTTAGTGGTGGAATTTTAAATTTTAATGAAACCAACTTTGAGGTATACTCTATCCAATAAAAAAAGAATGATCGAAATCAGACTACGCTGTAAAAAGTTATGCGTTCTCAAACATAAAAAAAATAAACATGTCGAATTGAGAACCTCCTCCTTTTTTTCGTCGGTTAAAAATTGTGATAAATAGAACTCACTTATAAGCTGCTTTACTTGTTCTTCAGTAATCCCAATTTCTATTAATTTTTTCACTTCATTTAATGACGCAGGCGCAGGATAGACGACTTCTTCGATTACCTCTCTATCCGTGTTAGAGTACGTAGTTGAAATGTATACAAAGGCCTGGAAATGAAATGACAACATATTAATATAATTCTATTTCAGGAGATACAGCAGATGTTGAAATTTTCAAATATTTTGAGAAATTATTCGAGAGAATAATACCCGTAATGATATTTACGTCGAATTATTTAAAATTTAAAGGCAGTAATATCAAACGCCGGGTCTCCGACATCTGATATTTTGATGATTTTTATGAAGGAAAACAACTAGCAAGTTTTGGAAAGACATGTGAAGTCCGCCAATCCGCACTTGGCCAAAATGCCAGCCTATGGCCTGATTTCCCTCTTATTGAAGGGAGGATTGTACCCAGCAGTGGGACGTTAAAAAGGTCTGAATACATATTTACATTTAAAATTAAATCTTTTGATCAATGATGGGCAATAAGTAATTGTAACAAACCACGTATATTCTATAAAATGATTTTCTGTATCAGTAGGTATTTTGGAAGGTCTATTGTAATCAACCTCAAACTTTCAAAATTAAGGGAAGGGAGTTACAATGTTTATAATTTTGGAAGCACATAACTCTGCAACTATTGGCTTAAGAAAAAATGTTACTTAGAAACACCTATCTCACTTTTAAAGATATTTGCAACGTTTTATATACTAAAAAAAATCTCAGCCCTCTGTTAGTTACATGTACATTTATACTATCCGTATTTTTAATTTTCATAATTCGAGTGCTGAATTGTGCAGTGGTTCACATGAGGCACTTAATTATGATATTTTAGTAAGAATAAACGGAAATGACAATATGATTTTTAACCGACTTCGAAAAACGAGGAGGTTCTCAATTCGTCGGAATTTTTTTTTGTATTATGTTCACCGATTACTCGAAGCCGCCTGGACCGATTTGAATTTTTTTTTGTTTTGTTTGAAAGGGTATATTTCCCAGGTGGTCCCATATAAATTTTATCGAAATCAGTCGAGCGGTTTTAAAAAAAATCTAGAATAAAAATTTTTTTAAACAAATTGTTTAATCGAATATGTTATTAAAAACTTTCTTCCTACAAATTACCTGCTTATTACGTCTACACTAAAAATATAAAAATAAAAACTTAAAAAAAAAGACTTCCAGGCACTAAAATGTAAAAAATAACTAAACAGGGGTTTTCATTTAGAATAGATACCTAATCAGATATTTTCGAAGTCTGTGCCAGCGGACAATATTTACATTTTAGTGCCTGGAAGTCTATTTTTTTTTAAGTTTTTATTACGTTTTTGCCTTTTTCACGAACTCAAGTGTTTTTTTTATTACAACTTCGATTGTTTTACATTTTAACATTTTACTAAATTATTATTTGATATTTTCCAACCTCTACTAAGTTAATTATTTTCTTAAATTGTATGTATTCTTTGTGTTAGAATCAATTACGTAAGTGATGGCATTTACTTTAATAATACTACATGTTGACTAAGCATGTTGTGTTAGTGCACTTATATTAAGTGTTGTGTATAATTATACTGAATTACTGAAAATTGAGACTGAACCTGAAACTGAAATTCCAATTACATTAGTTTTATTCTAGATCCCTTCGCTTATTTATCTCAGTAGTACAGCAATACAAGTCCATGGAAGCCACGTTATTCATAAATACAAGGTAAAGGTGAAAGTTTGTAGGTGTGTGTGTTTGTTTGTTACTCTTTCACGCTGAAACGACTGGACAGAATTGGATAAAACTACACACATATAACGTGGAGTTAAACACATAGGCAACAGTTATGCGAGCAAAGTGAGGATATGATACTAGTTTTATTATAATGGCTATCATAATAAACGCTCAGTAAAAATAAACGTCGTCTTCCTTGAACAGACTTTAATTAATTATACATATAATCGCCAATTTTTCTCGCAGTTTAGTAAAAACCCAAAAGCTTATTATGCTATGACGTCAATGATACCTTTATATTTTGCATGCGTTGGCAGAGATTAAGTACACGGGCTGTGCCGGCTACGTTGATGTTTACAGCTACTTCCAACGGTTCGTTAAACTTAATCGTTGCAGCCATGTGGAAAACTATTGAAACCTGTAACATACAGTAAAATAAAGTTATCGTAATCTTAGATTTACTTGAATATTTGACATTTTATATGAAATATTTTTTCGTATTTTTTTATTTTTTTTTATTATGCTTTTTGGATCCTGATGTAATGATTTAGAACAGATAGTAGATTCTAAAAAGCAAAATCAACCCGCAAAAATATGACAAAAAACAGCTATAGTAATTATAATCTATCACGACTTATGTTAGCTACAATTGAATTCTAATATCAGATAAACAAACACCTTATTTATTTATGTAATTATTAGAGTTTAGCAGAATATTATTCCTTTCAACTTTGCTAGTTCAATATCTGAAGATTCATTCATTATCACCTATTTTGCGACTTCGCACTTCGTATGTGTGAATCTTACTTCTTTATTTAGAGCCTAAAGACATTGAATTACTATTAGTTAATACTCACACAGGATAAGAATATAATTATTATATTAATATACATATTGTAGATTATGATTATATTAAAAATTGGTGTTAAATTGCTAAAATATATTACTATATGATAGTTATTTTTGTTGCCAACCAAAAAAATAATAATAAGACAAAAAGTAGTTAACTAAGTATTGGAAAATGTAAGTACGGGGAAAGTTTACGTACCGTATCAGTTAAAAGCTGTTCATCTTCTGGTTTTAATCCAAGCTTAGGTTCAGATATATCACCGACAATTGGGATTATTTTCTCTAAAGCTTGCGGATTTTCATTTTTCAACCTTGTGAAGAGCTGGAAAGATAAATGGCAGATATAACTTTTTTGTTAAAAATTATGTTTTGACAAAAACAATAATATTTTTGATTATCTATAATAATTGATTGTTTTGTTATGTTTTTAATATTCATTTCTAAATCTTTCGTGCTAATAGATCTTTAGCTAATAGATTTCTTTAAAGGGATAAAAAGTTTATACAACAATGCTAACCATCGCAAATTTTTTTTTTTTTTTTTAGGAAAATAGCTGACAATAACCAAAATTGAAATTACATATATACACGTGCTAACGTAATACATAAGTATTACGTTAGCACGTGTATACTGTGTTAATTATTTCTTCAAATACTTGTTCCCATAGCTCTCATATGGCAATCTGTACATCTAAATATCTCTGAAATATGACATTTTTGGGGCACAACTTCCTACGCCGCTCTTTGAAAATGAAAATTTAAATGCGCCAAGTGGCTAACGCCATCTCAATAGAAAAGTGTTCGTACAGTGTATGCGATTATAATAGGAATATTATTGATGTGAAATATCTATTGGTGCGTCTTACGAAATTATACTTTTTCTCTATTTAACTTCATATTTCGTTATAAATTTTTATTAATTATGAATTCTAATATTGACACAGATGTTTCACATCTGCCAGGTGTCCCGTCACGGCCAACTTTTTTTTTAATATAGATAGCTTACCGGTTGTTCTAAAACTTTCTGAATCCTTTGATGTGCGGTGAAGTTTTGCTTTTCTCGCACCAAAAGATACACCTTGTTTATTCCGGGACAACTGTATAGTAACTTTTCCAAGATCACCTGAAAACGTGTATTTTCTTAGCATCGAGCAGAATTTATTTAAAGTATAATTGGCCTGGCAGTTCTATAGATAGTAGTAGCAAATAAGCTACTCGAAGTCACAAAATTGTATTTTTATTTATTTGTTATCAAACATTTCCAATAAAATATTCGTAAAAAAGATTCGTAAAAAGAATTCAGTGAAAAGAGAAAAGTGACCACATCCATTTTGATCCCTTCACAGTTTAGTCTATCATTACCTAGGAGGAGTTTAGGGGGCAGAGGTAGCCCAGTGGTAACGCGCTCACTTGGGATACTGAGTAAGCGGGTTCAAATCTCGGGTCTCAGACCTGAGATATTTTCATGTGCGAAACATTTCCAACATGATTACCACTTGTCTTATGGTGAAGGAAATCATCGAAGTGTTGCATGTATCTGATAGCCTGCACTTGGCTAGCCTGGTGGATTATGGCCTGATCCCCCTCGTATCGAAGGGAGGCCCGTGCCCAATAGGAGAACGTTAAAAAGGGCTGAGCAGTTTAGGCCTAGCTACTTTAAATACACTCGTATTTATATTTAAACAGAATACTTCACTACCAAAAAGGTGCATTGCTCTTTGCTTTACTCATATTTAAATAATTTTTATTTACAAATAATAATAAGAATCTATAAAAAGCGATTTAAAAATTGCTGTTTAATAGATAAATGTCAAAAAATGTTTCTTTACAAGAAAACTAATTTAGTGGTTTACAACAAAGCAATTACCTTGCCGAGAAATCCGGTGCCTCCAGTTATAAAAACAGATTGTCCCTCGTAGCATTCCGCGACGCTTTTGTACATTTTGTGGGCCTGTGTGTTCTTTTGCAACCAATGTCTGAAATAACAGGAAAGTGAGTGTAAATTATATATATGTATATATATATATATATACAGGAGTATCTGGATATGGTGCCATTGCACGAAATAATTCAATTACTTTCGCTCAGTCAAATGTTAACTTTGTTTAGTCAACAGACATTTATTCTGGTGTAAATTCTTATTTTAAGATAACCGTAAAATAGTAAATTCTTATTTTGTACCAAACCACCACGGCTCTCTCCGAGTCACTGGCCCGAAACAACGCTGACTTTCCAATTTCGGGCTATTTTTAAGAATTTCTTAGCAGAAAACTCAACAACTAAACTTGGCCCAACTCAGGATCTCTGGATTTGCAGCCATTCATCTTAGCTACTAAGACACCAAGTCAACATAAGGTACTTTATACTTTATAAAAATATCTCATGTCTGAGAGAAAAATATAAAAAACTGTTTATAATAAAACCACACTGAAACTATAAATATTTTAAGATAACTCACAAAATAGATTAAAAATAAAGAGCTGCTCGCGAGAAAGAAAACTGTGTCAAATAATTTCAAACATAAAAGTAACTAGACAAATATTTAGCTAAGTGTAATTTAAAAAACCATCACTAGATGTCGCCATCTGTTTTTAAAAAACGTATTTTTAATGCTAACAAAATTTCATGTACTGACATGACTATGCTTTTCAAATTACTAGCATTACCCGCGGCCCTATTCGTGTCCAAATAACATAAAAAACTGTTTGGCTTAAAAATTAGTTACATATTCATATTAATTAATCTATACATAAAATAAAATTCTAACTGAGCCGAACCTAAATATTTGTTGGTAATTTAGTATTATTGAAATAGCCAATATTATCGATCGAGAGGCCAAATCTACAATATTTTTTTTTATTATCTGTCTGTGACCCCATCACAGGAAAATCACTCGAGGGATTTTGACCACTAGATGTCACCATGTTTTTTAAATCTATTTATTTTCATTAATTTAAAATAAAAATATTTGTGAATAATTACTATAGATTATATTAATATGGATATAAATTAAAGCCCATAAAAACGTCAAGTCGCAAAAATTGCTTAAGTTAGTAGGAACGCACTTGAGCGTAGCGATTGTTAGTTACTTGTTAGAATATAATATTTTTATGTATTTGTAGGTAGAATATTGCTTATTTTAAAGTCCTAATATAAAATTCAGGGTCAACAGCTACATGTCTATTACTAAATTAGTAATTTCAAATTCAGTTATTACAAAACGTAATTAAAATAATAATAAAAAAGTTATACATCAATCTGAATGGAAATAATGTAATTTATATAAATAATAATTTATATAAATGAATGACTAAATGTTTTGCAAAGCGTAAAACTCGAGAACGCCTGGACCGAAAAAAAATTGCCGGATTTGCATTTTTTTTTTTCCAAAAAGTCAAAGTTCAAAATCTGAGGAAGATTCTTATGAAGAGAAAAATTGGAAAAACTTCACAAAAAAACGAAAAAATCACATTTTTCTTTTTCCTTATTACTTCCTACTTTAACTTTAAAATTAATATAGACTACTTGAATGCATTTGTAGATTTGACACTTTCTATTTCTACGACATACAGTTTGGCTTTAACTTTGTTTGTTTGTCCTTCTTTCGACGAAACTGAGTGACGGATTGACGTGATGTGTGTGGAGATAATTGAAGGGCTAGAGAATGACATAGGCTACTTTTTACAGCGGGAGATAATCTCTTTCCCGCGTTATACTACAATCCAAAAAAATTTTTTTGATTAGAATTACTTGAAGCTTGGTATTAATGCTCTTCAATACAATTAATTAAACATGTGTTTTAGAATTTTTCGAAATTCGTCCCATAAGAGGGTAAAATATCGGATGAAAGTTTGTATGAAATCTTTCATTTTAGACTTTTTTTGTGGAAAAGCCGCGAGTTCTGATAATTATTTATAAATATTAAACAATGATTATGCTCAAATTTCAACCACTGAACGGATACTGTTATTAAGAATTTGATTAAAATTGTATTGACGACGTTAAATTTAATTAGTTACTTTTTTTTCCGTTACAATCATAACTGTTCCATGACTTACTTTATTAATCTAAAAAGCTGCGTCACGAAAAAACTTTGAATCTAGGCTAATTTATAAGTACTTCACTTTATTTATTTATTCTTTGTTTAAACGCGCTTATATCTGGAACTGCCTGTTTAATTTGTATACTTTATTTGCAAAACATACATACATAGATAAACAATGCAATAGACGTGATCAGGCCAGTTTTACATCTAGACATAAAGTATTTAAATTAAGAAAATAGAAATTGAATATGTAATATTTTATCTGGACGTCCTAAAAATATATGCCAAGGCGATAAAAAATATAGAAATAATAATCAGCTGATAACGTCATCATCGACATATATTTTGATCTAAGACCTTGTGATAATTATAGCGTGTGATTTCGAAATTGTCCCTGACAGATTAAAAGTTCTTTGATCTGTCTTCATTAAGTCGAAGCTTAGTTTCTTCTGTTTCTATTACAATAATAAATTTACCTTCAATTCCACCCTATTTATATGGAATTCCATATATATTTTCAGTAATTATATTATGAAGACACGATTCATTTTCAGTGACGGTACCCAAAACTTAATTAATCTAAATCAGATCTAACTTAAAACTATCTCCACACAAAAAATCACGCCAATTCGCCTAGCCGTTTCGACGTGAAAGAAAGACAAACAAACAAAGAAACAAACACACTTTCACATTTATAATATTAGTATGAATAGTACTGAACTATTTTGTTTTCACCTAATGACAATAGATTTACCTATTTCTATGAAAAAAACTGACTGTTTCCAAAAAAAAAATTAGTATTAGTAATGGCTAAAGCTCGACAATAGTTACTAAGCAAAAAAAATCGATTAAAAAACAGATGAGGAAAAGATTATAAATATGAAAGTTTGTGAAAATGGATGGATAGATGCTTATTACTCTTTCACGCCAGAACGGCTGAACGGAACTGGATGAAATTTAGCACAGAGATAGAATATAGTCTGGTATAGCACATAGGACATTTATCCCGAAAGAATGTACAGTTCCGTGGGATAGATTTGTTTCTGTCTAAGGACGAACCCGAAGCGAAGCGAGGATAAGTCGCTAGTCTTTGTATATGAAAGTCTTTAAATATGAATTTATACATAGATTATATATGTTTTTTACCTATTTATATATCTTATATCTTTAAATGAGCAATTCTTGTGTGTAACTAAATATATATTAATATATATATATATATATATATATATATATATATATATATATATATAATCTGAAACTCGGAAATGGCTCCAACGATTTTCATGAAATTTAGTATACAGGGGGTTTCGGGGGCGATAAATCGATCTAGATTAGTCTTATGTCTGAAACAACGCGTGTTTTCGAGTTTTCATGCAGTTTTCTTTCGAATTATTTCACGCATAATATGGTCGGTAATTTGTACGCTCGGGCATTAGCATTGTGGTCAAGCGGCGAAGGTGCAAGATCAACAATCACAGATGTCCAGGTTCGAATCTCGGTCGCATACAACGTTTTTTTTTACTTTTGTTTTTTTAAACATTTATTCAAGTTTTTAGGTTTAAAAAAAAGAACATTGTACTTCAGGCCAAAATCTCCGAGTGAAGCTCGGTAGCCCAGGTACTTATAGATTATATATGTAGTTTTTATTACATTTTAGTTATATATTATTAATTAAAAAGTTTGAATACCTGATTTTATGTGGAAAGCATTTTGTACATCTTTACAAGGTTATGTACAAAACGCGTACCACGTTATTTTATTGCAAAATTTATATTAATATTAGTGACATGCCCTCACAATATAATGTATATTGATTAACAAGCTTACGTATGAAGGTATTTAAAAGATAACCCTGTATCGATATGTGTTATCTACCAAATTAATGTATTACACGTAATATTACGAAATGACATTGGTAACACAGTGGTAATGCGCTCGCTTGGGAATCCGAGTGAAGCGAGTTCAAATCCCGGGTCTCGCACCTCAGATATTTTTATATACAAATCATTACCAACACAGTTACCACTTGTCTTGCGATGAAGGAAAACATCGTGAGGAAACCAGCATGTCTGAGAGAATCTAGCAAGTTTTCGAAATACGTGTGTAGTCCGCCAAACCGCACTTGATCAGCGTGGTGGTTTTGTCCCCATCATATTGAAGGGAGGCCCGTGCCCAGCAATGGGACTTAAAAAGGTCGAATATATACATACATACATTACGATATGGATATTAATATAATTAACAATTTTACGATTAAATATGGTATTTTCGAAAAGTTCTTCTTTTGTTGGTTACATATAATGAAAATTTGAAAAAGTGTTCATATTCATATCGGTTCATTATTGCGTGGCCTCGATGGAGGTGAAAACTGACCGCAACGAGCATAAAATTCTGCTCCATACGGTATACGCCCAAATCACGCAAATGCTAACATTCCTATAATAATAGCTTATGTTATTTTACCTATTGTAGAAAAGTTCGTCGGTGTAATATTTTGATGTAAAAACAATAATAGTTAAGGTATACGAGTGGGAATATTGCGTGTTTACTGTAATATCGTGTTTTGTTTTTGCCTATTTATATATAGACTAGCGACTCACCACCGCTTCGCTTTGGGTGCGTCCCTCAACAATAACAAATGCATTTCAAATCGGATTAGTAGTTCCTGAGATTAGAGCAACAAATAAACAAGCACAAACAAACAAACAAACAAACAAACAAACAAACAAACAAACAAACAAACAAACAAACAAACAAACAAACTCTGCCTCTTTATAATATTAGTATAGATTAGTAATAAATATGTACAGCCATTATTAAAGATTTACACTTCACCGTCAAAGATAAAAAAAAAAAAAAATGAAGATTAAATTTTATTCATATCGGCTAATAACACCAAAACATAAAGCTTGTACACGTGAAATCGTAATAAAGTTATCTAAGCATTATGATATATTATTTGGCATAAAAGTCTGAATAAATTAAAATTTTAAATTATTAGTTTTAAAAATTAAAGCAATGTTAGGAAAATGGATTTTTAAATTAATAATTTAATATAATAATTGTAAATTTTTAATTTCTTTATTTCTTAATTCAATATAATTTATGCAACACGATATTAATCATTTTGCTCAATTTAGATTTTACAACGATACATATTTTTATGGCCGTTTTATTAAAATGAATTAATTATCAAAAAACATAAAAGAACACAATAAGTATAGAAGTTTTTTACAGTAATTATTTTACAATTAGCAACTTATCCAAGCGTCACTTGAGTGCACCCTTCAGAACCTCTTGTATTTATCTTCATCTTACTAATATTATAAAGAGGTAAAGTTTGTGAGTTAGTGACGTTGTAGGAGGTAATCTCTGTATCTACTGAACCGATTTAAATGAAATTTGGTGAAAAGATAGTTCGAGACCCTGGGAAGGAAATAGAATACTTTTTATCCCGGCAACCATCCCTCGGGATGAAAGTTTGTATGGGGAATCAACCAGTTCCAAAATCAATTCAATGGGGGATGAAAGTTTGTATGCAAGGCTGAGGCGCTAGTTAATATTATAAAGAGGCTAAGTTTGTAAGTTTGTATGTAGGATGTAATCTCAAAATCTAGCTAGAAAGCTATATTAACGCTGAGTGTTATACACTATTTTTTATCTCGATTAAAAATGAATTTACTGTCAGAAACCATAATAACTTTAATTGTGGTCGGGGAAAAAAGGCGTTTGACTCTATCAGTAGTTAGGCACTTAGAGACGCAACCAAGCGATGCAAGGATAAGTCATTAGTACTATTACATACAGGTAGAGCCACTTTACGCAAATTTTTCCAAGAGACTAATATGCCACAGAAATCATGTGACATACCGGGATGACAAGTAGCCTATATCACTTTCCACGATTTCATCCTTTCGTGATCGCCTATTAAAATCTATATTTTAAAATCTCCCTCAATAAGTTTTGATGAAAAAGAATTGGATGCCTAAATAAGCATCTAAAATTACTACTCAACTCAAATATTGATTTAACCCGATTTGACACGATTATATTATACTAGCGGAGCCGACAGACGTTGTCCTGTCTACACGTCTTTAATTTGAAAATTTCAAACTTTTTTTAATAATTTTTTTGATGAAAATTATTATTCAAATTGTGAATCTAAACCATTTCCAGATCCCTTTGAATACACACAAAAAATTTCATCAAAATCGGTCCAGTCGTTTGAGAGAAGTTCACTGACATACACACTCACAGAAGAATTATATATATAAAGATTTATCAAAATCTATTAAGCCTTTATTAATTTTAGGGTGCGAAACTTTAGGCTGGAAAGCACATACATACATACATACATACATACATACATACACACACACACACACACACACACACATACATACATACATACATACATACATACATACAGGACAAACATACATATAACGCTTCTACGCAGCAGTTGGATAAAGACAAACGAACAAAGTCAATCATTATATCGTAGAAAGAGTCAAATCTACAAATTAATTCAAGCAGTTTATATTAATTTTAAAATTGCTTTCATAATTATAATGTACGTGATTATATGTATTACCGTAAAATATTTCAAATTTTTCTTATCATAGAAATCTTCCTCGGACTTAAATGAATATTTGAAAAAAAAATGCCGAATTAATCCAACCGTTCTCTTATTTTGCTCTTAGCAACACATTAAGCCATTCATTTTTATTTATAAGACTAGCATTACCCGCGGCTCCGCCCGCGTTCAGATGACCAAAAACCAAATTCTTAAGTTTTACATATTAGTTTTATATATTATACACTTTTTGTATTTTTTCTAAGAAATTAGATATTTTCCCGCTGTACAAAGTATCCTATATGTTGACCCGGATAACCTTACCCGAAAATCACTCCAGTGGTTTTTCCGTGATGCGATAACAGACAGACAGACAGACAGACAAAAATTCTAAAAACTATAGATTCAGCCGCTGTATCGATAATAATGTCTATTGCAATAAGATTTTCCAAAAAATATTTAATGTACAGATTTGGCTTAGTTACAATTTTATTATATGTATAGATGTACACGTTTTTACAATGTTCAGAAGACACTTAATGCTAAATACCAAAAAAATTGTACAAAACGCACGAAAAGCTTTAATAATGCACAAAAAGATTTATGCAATAAATGATTACATCGAATATAATACACCTTGAGAATGATGTGATTGCTGTGTGGCTTTACAATGTTGGAAAATTATTGTAGTTAACGATTTTGTTTACAAAAAAAAAGATAAAAAAACCTTTTTAGCCCTGCTAAGCTTTTGCCAGTTATTTTCAGGAATGAGACTTTTTATGTCTGAACTGATGGAAGACATCATCACTTACGTTTATTTAAATTTAATAAAATGAATAGTTTACTGTTGAAATTTTGAATTTTATTTAACAACAATTAGGTAATTATTAGTAATATTATTTATTAATTTTTCATTAACTCATTATTATATGACTTCAACTGACTGACTGGTTTAGATACCAGATAGAGTCTACTCCATTCACAAGTATGTACACTTCTCATTGTAATCAGTGAGTAAAAATTGTTTAGATTTATGTGTGAACAAACTTAATTTACTTTGATCATATCTAATATATTTAAACGAGCAGTTCTTGTATATATATATATATATATATATATATATATATATATATATATATATATATATATATATATATAATCTGAATCTCGGAAACGGCTCCAAAGATTTTCATGAAGTTTAGTATACAGGAGGTTTCGGGGCCGATAAATCGATCTAGATCAGTTTTATGTCTGAGAAAACGCGTGTTTTCGTGTTTTCATGCGGTTTTGTTTCGCATTAGTCAGGACATAAGTATCGTGGTCAAGTGGCCAAGGTGCAAATTTGACGACCACAGGTGTCTGGGTTCGTACCCGGTCGGATACAAAGTTTTACTTTTGTTTTTTTTTGTATATATTCAAATTTTTAGTTTGTTTCTTTTTAATGTTTTATGATCAAAAACTCCGAGCGAAGCTCGGTCGCCCAGGTACTTATATATAATCCAAAATGCATCAATCAACTCATTATATATGCACCAAATCAAAATAATGTTAAATTATAGTATAGTTATTCTTTATTTTAAAAGCCATAAAATGTAACAGATTTGTTTGCTACGACATTGGCCACAAGATTTACGCATTCGCGTTACAAATAAGGATATATTATTCACACTATTAGTGAGAAAGTCAACACAAACAAATTATACAAACTATTAAGAACTGACGTATTGTGAGTAAATATTTTTTTTGAATTGTAATTTGCTTAAAATAAATAAATAAAAATAAGGTAAATATATTTAAAGTAAATATTTCAATGGAGTCACGGTTGGCAAAAATTTTACGTAAGAATTTACTACGTATAAGTCCTTCCAAAAATCGATGATGTTCAGATTATAAAATACGAAACACATATTATCGTCTCTTCTACTTTAAGAGATAATAAAGCGAAAGCTCTTTCTTTTTAGGATAGAAAATTGGTTTTAGGAATACTAGCTAATAATCCTTAAGACACACGACGGATTTGGCAATTTTGCCATTTCACGTTTAAAAGAAGCGTTAACGTTCATGTTAAAAAAATCATAGAATTGATAACTGTATGCCCGAAATAATTTTAACCCTTAATTAGTCGCGCGGGGTCCAATGGACCTCACACCATATTATTTATATCATGTTTTGGCGAATATGATGCCTATGAGCCTTTTCACTCCAGTAGCTTCCTAGCTCACGTGCCCTTTCTCCTCCATCTTTCACTATCCGCTGCGTTGACTACACGCGCCATACGTAGGTGCTTGGGGTCCAACAGACCCTACGCGACTAATAATGTACGTCAATTTTAGTGAGTATATGGTGATTATAATTAGTTTTTACTTCACAATTGTAATTAAACTGACATTTTATCCATAACATATTATAGAGACAATACCAGCAGTAATAAATATAGATAAAGAGGAGCAATTTGGTGAAAGTAGCGACGAGTTCAAATGAAATATGGAAGAATACTGTGTTGAACAAGATCGTAACCTTAACTCTGAGTACAATGAAAAAAAAACAGAAGATGAAATAGGTTTATTTCACCACATTCAACAGATCACTCTTTGTTTAGGCATGGACAAGGTAACTAAATGGTCTAAGTAAAATCTTTATATTAGAAGTGTATCTTCTGCTTTTTACAGCAGCCTGGTATTTTTATTGAGTTAAGATGTTGTTCTTAGAGTTCATGTATAAAATAAATACTTTTACTTAATGCATTGGTTTTTATTGACCAGTAAGATCTGGAGTTACATGGACCCCACGCACCTCATAGTTTCAGTATTTAGGCGCGATTACTTAAAGGGTCATTTTCGAATTAAAAATATGTAAAACTTGGTAAATACTGTGACATTACAAAGCTATACAATATACGAACTCAGTCTATACGGTAATAAAATAAGTGTAAATAAGCAGTATAAAATATATTAATGTATCAAACCACGGCACGGTTTTTCAAAAATACACAAACTTATCACTTACACGTTAAGACCACTGTGATACACAAAAGATATAGCACAATAAATTAAAACAAATGAAGAAAACACTATTAAAATTTGTGTCTCACCTGTTATAATGTAAGGTGCAGACCCTTATACGGTTAAACACGGAATGGCTTAACCCGACAGAGTATGCTCATTTTAAAACTGAGTAGAATGGATTAAAAACTTCAATCACCTGATTACTCTGCTATATCAAATTAAATCTGCACTGATAATAACGTATTATAATCCGATAAGTCATTCGTTCGTGAAACAGTTTCTTGACGGAAACTAATATCATATTATCATTCTGTACATCGTTGATTATTTTAATGTTTAGATACGAGTAGGTAGATTAACAGGTAGTTTTTTTTTGGTGGACTTTAAATACGAAGTTAAGGTGTTTTTGTATATATTTTTTTAGGTTGTTATCTTTTTCATTTTTCTGTGTAATCCTTATATAATGGATAAAATATTTTTGTAGGATGGTGTAATATATTATTTTAATATTTTATAATTGCTTTTAAAATGATGTTCTGCCTTTTTATAGGTATAGTATCTGGGCTACCGAGCTTCGCTCGGAATTTTTGGCCTAAAGTACAATTCTCTTTTTTTAAGCTAAAAACCTGAATAAATATTAAAAAAAAAACAAAAGTAAAAGCTTTGTATGTGACCGAGATTCTACCCTGGACACCTTTGATTGTTGATCTTGCACCTTGGCCGCTTGACCATGATGCTTATGCCAGAGCGTGCTAATTACCGACCATATTTTGCGTGGAATAATGCAAAAGAAAACTGCATGAAAACTCGAAAACGCGCGTTTTCTCAGACATAAGACTAATCTAGATCCATTTATCGCCCCCGAAACCTCTGTGTACTAAATTTCATGAAATCGTTAGATTCAGATTATATATATACATATATACAAGAATTGCTCGTTGAAAGATATAAGATATATGTAGGTAAAAAATGAAATTTTATTGTCTTTCAGCATGTCTGTATGACCTGTCTCGCTGATCTAGTGTGGTTGGAGTTCTTGTTCGGTCAAGTTTCGTCAAAGAGTCTTTCTGGTAAGAAATATTTCCTGCGCAGTTGGCTAGTCTCAGTGAGATTAGCCGCCGTGGGCCAAATGGGTCAGGAAGAAACTTTGTTCACCCATATGGAAAAAAACAGAAACTATTTCATTAAACTTTTTAGTGGGCAGAGAAGCGTCTACGCTAATTTCATTTAAACCCAGCTAAGTTTATATTAATCGGCGAGTTCGATCTAGAAAATAGACTTTATTTCCATACATACCCTCTAATTTATAACATTATTATTTTTATCCTACGTCTGAATGCGTTGAAGTTCAGACCAATAGTTTTTTATTTGACTTTTATATAAATAATATGTATGTCCGACCCGATGTTTCCCCGTAGGTAACTCCTAAATAGCTAAACTGATTTTGATTAATTTTTACGTCGTTATATTTGTCGTAATAACGCGTAATACTAAAATATAACGACGGTACTAAAACTGTAAAAAATGAAAACTTCGGATTTCTAGGAGTCGATTTAGAATTCTTGTAAACTAGAAATGTCCTTCCAATTGCAATATCAGAATAAAATGTTTAAAAAGGTGATCACATAAATATATACATACAAATTATATGTTTAAAATTCTATATATATATATATATATATATATATATATATATATATATATATATATATATATATATATATATATATATATATATATATATATATATATATATTAATATATATATATATATATATATTCATTTTTATATATTATTATTTTCAAAGTTATTTATAGTACCATTATAAAAAAAAATATTAACTAGTTGAATTGTATGAAGCATCCTTCAAATAACAAGTGTCAATAACATTATAAAAACTCAGTTAAATTTAAGTAAATTCATTATAATATATACATTATATTTAAAATATAATATAATTTAAATATAATAAAATATTTATATACCTAAAAATAATAATCTTATAGGAAATCATTAAACACAAGCGCATTATAAATGCATAAAAATACTGTGAGTCATTTTTAAGGGTTCCGAACCTCAAAAGGAAAAAAAACCCTTATAAGGATCATTTCGTTGTCCGTCAGTCTGTCTGTCTGTTAAGATCTCTTTTTTTGTGGAGGTATCACTTGAAATTATTATCAAATACGCAGGTCTCCAATTCCTTAAAGCTGTGAAAAACTCAAACTTCCAAGTCAACGCAATCAAAAGATACGGCTGTTTATGCTATATGTATATACATATTTTTGCCACTTCCAAGGGAATCAAAAACTATCTAGAAGTTGATGAAAACGTATGAAAAGCAAGAAGCAATGTCTTATAGCATAAGTAAAGGAAAACGGAAACGGAAAGAAAAAACTGAAAACTGTAAATTTGTAGCTACATCACAAAAAAACTTTCGACTATATTCTTATTTTTATGTTAAGGAACCCTCGGTGTGCGAGTCAGTCTCACACTTGACCGATTTTTTTAGATCGAATTAATTGTGACTCTAGTTTGCGTATTTATATCACAATGTATCAAATATGGAAGAATTTAGTAGTTCTTTATTTTAAGAAATATTTCTATTTTTTTTTTATTTAAACTTGTTTATCTTTATTTTATCTAACTGCCAAGTCCGAAATATCCCGATATTTCGAAAAAATATTTTTGTCATTACAGACATTGTGGCCGTACTGCTACTTAGTTACTCACTTGACAACACCAGCTGAAACGTTCGAACCAAAAATAGTGCGTAACAGTCTATCACTTTACTAATAATTATAACTTTATAATTACAAGCATTTGCGTCAACGGAGCACTAGTAAAAAAAAATGACAGTCCTTATTTAAACAACAATAGTAACAAATACACACAGCCCTAACTCCTGAACTAGAAAATTGTGTTTCAGGAGTAGTACCTTCCCATATCAGGCGTACATATTCATTGCATGAAATTACGTTATAATAAGGTAAGTTAATGTAAACAAAAAAGGAAGAAGAAAAAAAATATATTAAAAATTAAATAAATTACTTCTAAGTTACAAGACACAGAGAGAACAAAAAAGTGTGTATGTGTGTATATAAGTGTGTGTGCCCGTGTGTGTGTGTGCGTGTGTGTGTTATGTTACTATTACAATTTGTATATATTAGCATTTATATTATTATTTTTTTATACTAGCACAAGGTTTTCAGTTTGTTCATACGTTAGATTAATTAGCCATTCTTTTAAACTTTCTTAAAAAGTAGTGCTTACAATAATCATATAAAATATATGGGCACTCCTATACATGTATATATATATACAGGTGATCATCTTGATGACCTTAAGATTTCAATGTGTCACTTCACACTTCAAAATCCTCTGAGAAATATTTTAAAAAAGTTTAACACACACAGACAGATTGGCATGATTTTTTTATGTAGACATAGTTGGAATGACATAGGCTACTTTATTGTGGGAGTTTATCTCCTTCCTACTGGAAAACACGTTATAATACAACCCACAACAACTCATCATACCTAGGTGTATATATATATATATAGACGAACAGACAGACGGACGGACAGCGGAGGCTTAGTAATAGGATCCCGTTTTACCTTTGCATACGGACCCCTAATAAGAAGGATTACATGTAATAATGGCGACGACGACGATACGCGTGAACATTGTGTTTTAAAATTTAAATAGAATAAATAGTTAATAGTTTATTATAAACGTCTTTATTGGTATGTACATATACATATGTGTATGTATGTACCTATAGTATAAAATATATGTATCATAATTAATACCGTTATTATAATATATTTGTGGTTTCTTATTTTTTTATATACTGTGACTTTTTTTAATGACTTCCTTATTATCTTGCACGTTTCTGCTCCGCTAAGTGGTCATCTTTCTAACCTCCATAGGTTAACTGGAAGAGATCTCTGTTAGAGCTAAGTCCACCTTTGCCCTCAATTTACTTATAATGAAATAATATGTATATATTACTCGGATCAACAATTTTACTACAGGAAAATCTTTAATTCCCACGGAAAATTAAAATAACTGGTTCTATCGAGTCATTCTTAGTTTACTTGGGTAACGCTGGCTAATATAAAAACAATGTATTAGAAGATTGTAGGTTTTAAAAAGCCCAACAAAAAAGTTCATAATAGCATATTACGCAAAAAGCACTGAACCATCTATTATATCTATACATACAATAAAATCGTAACTAAGCCGAATTTGTACATTGAATATTTTTTGGAAAATCTTATAGAAATAGACTTTATTATCGATACAGAGGCCGAATCTATAGTTTTTAGAATTTTTTGAGATAGTTAGAGGATTGGAGAGTGACATAGGCTACTTTTTACCGCAAGAGATTATCTTATTCCTACGGGAAAACAAGTTGTAATACAACTCAGGAAAATATTTATGATCAGAATTATTTGAAACTTAGTATAAACTCTCTCCAATACAATTAAATGAATACGTGTTTTAGCATTTTTCGAAATTCATCCCATAAGAAGGTAAAATAGGCTAAGTTTGTATGGAACCTACTTTTTTAGTTTTTTGTGGTTTTCTTGTAGTTTTCTTTAGCGCGAGCGAAGCCGCGGGTTCTGCTACTTTTAGTATATATTTGAATTTGTCCATGTTACTCTACTTCAAAGCAGGGAATAATTAAACTGTTTTACATACTATAATTATAATATATGGAGTGAATTTGATGAGAACACGTTTTTTGCTTGATTTGCATTTTCTGACTTTATCTCTAAAAATAACTGATTACATTATGTAACTATAAACCTATAATAAAAACATTTATGCAAAAAAATTGTACATGAGTTTTTTTTTTGGATTAAAGATTTGAAGAGAATAATAATTTATTATACATTTTCTGCACAGCTCTGTCTGGAAGAATGAATAAAAATCCATGTTAACATCAATGTTTTTATATGAGTGTGCACATTTGAATACTCGTTCATGCTGAACCGCTTAGACGGACTTAGATGAAATTTAGTACACAGATAGCCTGATCTAGAATATCACATATGCTACTATTAGGGACCTATGGCCACACCCAAGCGAAGCGAGGTACCGGCCGGCACCGACTTCGAAAATATCTGATTAGGTATCTATTCTAAATGAAAACCCCCATTTAGTTATTTTTTACATTTTAGTGCCTGGAAGACGGTTTTTTTTTATTTATATGGGACCACCTAAGTATCCCTTTGAAACAAAAAAAATCCAAATTGGTTCAGGCGTCTTCGAGTAATCGGTGAACATACATAAAAAAAAAGATTTCGATGAATTGAGAACCTCCTCCTTTGTGGAAGTCGGTTAAAAAGTGATTGACTGGTGTATCAACGCGCAGGACAAACCCTTAACGCTAGAAAATTGAAATTTCGCACATGTATTTCTCATATGACGAAGGCATCCACTAAGAAAGGATTTTTCAAAATTCAACCCCCAATGGCGTGAAACAGGGGATAAAAGTTTGCATGAAACTTTTTATTCCTTGGACATATTTGCATGAAATTTCGTATGAATTGAGTACGGCAAAAATAATGAGTTACGGATTTCAGCGTTTTCTAAAATTCAACCCCTAAGAGGGTAAAATAAGGGATGAAAGTTTTTATGAAACCCACTTTTTAGAGTTTTTTTGTAGTTTTAGCGCGAGCGAAGCCGCAGGTTCTGCTAGTCTACCTATATAAGCCTACATATTCTATAGTTTTAGGGATACATACCCAAAGGCTCCATTCGGAAGCCCATTTATGAAGCACACGCTGTCCATCCATCTGTTAGTCCTGCCCTTAGAGAGCTAAATATTTCTTTCAAGAAAATATATTAAAAAATACAAATGCAAAAGTAGAAAGAGAAGTAAAAATTTTGAAACTATTTTTGTTATAAGCGACATTAATGCCCATGACCTGAGAACTGATCCAATATAAGTCAGGCTCGTGCTTCTCTGTTGGTGAACACTTTCACAATACATATATTATATGATATAAACTCCTGGTGGAATTATTTCAAAATAAGAGAATAAGTAATGAAAAGAAAACATGCCAATAAATTATGTTTTATTTTACTTACATAATATATTGAAAAAACATAGAATTAGCACTTTATCATTTGATTTATTACTAAGCAGTAGATGACTTTATTGTGATTTAAAATATTCTTTTTAGTATCAATGATTTGGAATTTGGATAATTGTGATA